TATAAGTCCTTTTTATTGAGTCTTTTTGGTCTTTTTAGAGTCCTAGAAGAGTCTTTGCAGGTTATAGCATGCTGGAGCATAACTGGAGATATTGAAGCTTTTTGGAGCATTGCAAGTTGAGGCCACGAAGTACCCAACTCGGGAAGAAAAGTATGCATATGGGTGACGCTCGTCACCACTTTTGGTGACGCTCGTCACCCACAAAGGAAGGGGTCGTGGCTGTTTTCTAAAACATAGAGGATTATTTGCAGTTTTGGCCCAAAAGTTCTAGTATTTGCAAAAACGCCCCAGATCGTGTTTTAGCTTGTATATTAGGTTTTTCAGCCATTCTTTTGGGAGATATCTTGTATCTTATTATTTTTGAGAGCTTTAGAGAGAGATTTGTAGCAGAGCTTTTGGAGAGACAAATCAGACTCCTTCAGAGCAGATTTCGAACTCCTTTATTTCTACTTCTTATTTCTTTTATGCAATCTATTTTTTTCATGATGTTTTCTCAAATCACCATGTTTGAGTAGTTTGTTAGTTAAGTTAGGGCTTTTTCAAGGGTTGAAGAAGAGTTTGTAGAATTGCTAAAACTATAGGAAATTCAGTGGTTCTTCATCTGTGCTTGCATTCATATCGATTTCTTGGACACATCATCTGAATTTCGAAACCCTAGGTTGTTGGATAGATGTGAGAGCATTATTAATCACCTGAACTAGTATTAGATGAGCAAAACGCCATAGTACAAAGAGATTTGGCTTAGGAGTTTTGTGAACAATTGAACCTGATCATTACTGCATGTTTAGGTTGTTAGGGTTTGCAAAGAGATTTGAAACTCTGTGATTTAGACATAGATAACTTCTGCAATGAGAATTGATTAGTTATATCTTTGCGATTCATGTTCAAGACGGTTCTTAATCATTGCTGATTTCATGCATTCTATATTCTCGGATTCAACCTGCGAACTGTCCTGATTTAGCGCCTTTAGCCTTCTGAACTTTAAGAACGAGCATAAAAACGCCCTCTTGTATTTATTTTACTGTTTTGCATTACATTCATTATTTATCGCTTAGCTTAATCTGAATCTATAATCGCTAGTGTAGTTTACATACTCCCTTGGAATTCGATAACCCCTTATACTACGACTGCTTTGCTGTACACTTGCAGTAGTTTTTATTTGGATAAAATCTGACCCTATCATTAACTTTACACAACATTGTTTACAATAAATAATAAATAAAGGATATTTTGTAATACAATATTTTTATGTGCTCTCAGCAAACCATAGTAAAGCATTACAATCTTCACACCTCATTAATTTATTATGTTCTAATTTTAATAACCTTTTTTTGTTCTTGCCTGCCAAATATTTTAAAATATTATTAAAACAAATTTTAATTTTCATTAATTAATTATATAACAAATATGTAATTGCCATTAATTCTTTTTTTTCTAGAAGTTAGCAATATATTCGTTTTTTAAACCTATTATTCCAGAAAATAAAACTTACTTAAAAAATATTATAAATTAATTATTAATTAGTGACTAAAACTTATTTTAACAAACCATTAGAGAATAGAGCATTGTAACTTTCTCTACCAGTTGCTTCAGATATTTCAACATCCATTAGTATATTTACACATTCTGAAATAATAGTAAATTTAATATTAAAATTTATGATGTTAAGATTAAATACTAAATTATTATAATAATATATATAATAAAAGAAGTGTAAATACCTGCATCTTTAATTTTTAATGGACATCCTAAAATAAAATAAAATAAAAATAAGAATAACAATTTATAATAACACAACTAAAACTTAAACCCATTAAGATAATAATTAAAATTAATACCGTTCGTTATAAAATTCCGGCATCTCAATATTTGTATTTTTATTATTTTTGTATTCAATTTCTGGACGCATTATAAAACTATTTGATTTATGTTTTTGAAATACCGACAGCTTTTGTTATCTATAAAAAATAATAAAAAAAATGTTTTAAGAAGTTCTACATTTAATAATACTTTTTGTTCAAAATGAAAAGTTAGTTTAAAGTGAAAAATTACAATGACAAACTTGTTGGTTATTTGAAATTGAATGATGAATTGTAAATTTGGATGATGATTGAACCTTGCACAATGACACTTCCCTTAAAAAGTATTTTGACTCTTATCAAGCTTTGAGTTAGACAAAAACTCTTGTAGGATAAAACACAGTTCTAATGGTGATATGTATTTCTCCAGAAAATTTTATGATCTTTTGGAATAGTGAAACTCTTTCTTACTTTCTTTCTAATTTTCTTTGCTTCAATTTGTTTTCTGATTTTGTTGTGATTTTGGCAATGCCCACAACTCAAAACCAAAGGTCACTTCCAAAGATTACAATGGTTGATTAAAGTGCAATGATTGATCATCAACTGGTGCACTGGTTAGTCACTGGATAATGTAACCATACGCCCAACAATTGCAATGGTTAGTAATCGAAATGGTTGCAAATATTCATTTACCAGTTGCAACAGTTCTTCAAAATGTATATTTTAGGCAGACATAATAAATCTAATATTTACCGTTAAATCTGGAAACAAAAATAGTTAACCATTAAATTGATTTTTTTTTAGCAACCAAAACGAAAAGTCACAATGGTTCATAAAGTTGCAATGTTTTAAGTATAAAGTTGCAATGTTTTAACTATATGCCTCTTTAGATTACATCTACGTTCTTTTAACATTTAGAAGATAATGTTAGCAATCAAATCCTAACCATTAAATTTACAAATCAAAACTAATCAAAATAACGTCAACCGTTAAATTTGTCATTTAAAAAATAATAATAATAATGACATCAACAGTTAAAAAATTATTTTGTTATTATATATAGATATATAAGTGTAGGTGTACGCGTAGTTATACGATACACTCATCTCAAGAATACAAAAAAACATTAATATACAAAAAAATGAAAATTGTTGTGTTTCTAGTCGCTACGATCCTCCTCACCGCCGCCGCCGAAAGTGTGATTTGCCCGCCGTGCATCTGTTCGAGGCGTTGGAGGCTGCTACCACGACCGCGACCAAAGCCGCCGACTCCAAATGAAGATGTATTGCTGACTGATTAGTGAACATGTTAGAACAGGATGTGCTACAACTACTGTGAGATATGAAGCAGAGACACATGATGGTGATGATACAGACTTTGAGACACTACGAATGAGTGATACAGAGGCTGAGAGAGCATTGATCTAGATGTTGTGGCAGCTCAGTCAAAGACATTGAGGCGTAACTGTATATGCAGAGGCACTACTTGGATGCAGGTGCTAAGGAAGTACTTGCTGTGAACATATCGACACAGAACAGAAAGATGTTGTGGCGATCAGAAGGATGCAGTTGGATTCATCAGAGAATATATCAGACAACATATCAAAGGCTGATACATCAGAGGATGGATCAGATGTTACATCAGATGATGGATCAGACGGTACATCAGAGGATGTATCAGACGTCGTATCAGGAGGCAAGGACTTGACGTCGACCAAAAAATGACGTGGCAAGTGGCTTACTGAGCTGGACCAAGTTGCTAGGATATGTTATATTCGTTGCAACAGATTTGGTAGTAGATAAACTTGAGGGGCAAGTTGTATCTATCCGTAATCGCCGGAAATTCTAAGCTTTAGGGTTAAGTGATTAGTATATATACCGAGGCCGTCTCATGAAGACCGTGCGCGCCTAGGGTATCATTGACAGAGGCACACGTGAGTGTGGCGTCGGCCCCACCAGACAGACAAGATATAGATCTATAAGTTCTGTTAGTGGTGTTTCTGTGAATCTAGCAGTCCGCAGAAAAACTGGATGTGTGAGAATACACAGTAGGATTTCATGTAGAATATATTTCATACAATCATGTAACTGTTATCTTGTTCTAATGGAATTATTCTGGACGAGGTCTCGGAGATGTAGAGAAAGCCGAACCCCGTTAACAAATGTGTGTGTCCTTTACTTTATGCATTTTACATGTTTGTTATGTTCTTCTCATCGATCAAAGTCAGATACAGCCACAAATATACACTTTCACCAAAGACTCCAAACCGTCCTCCACAACCCCCAACTCCAAAGACTCCTCCACAACCGACACCGGAAATTAACATCTGTCTGCCTTGCATCTGCCTACCTCCCAGAAATCTTACCTCCGCCGGAGAGTCCGCTAGAATCTCGGCGAATTAAATGTAATTAAAATTAAAGAACTTAAGAGTTGATATCTATTCATAATTCACTTATTTATGTTTAAATAAATTATCTATTCATAATTCAATTATTTATGTTTAAATAAATTATATGTGTTCATGATGGATCAATGGCTGATAAGCCCTTCATTGTTGAAACTAAAGCTGACATATCCCGTTATTTTTAGCAATTTATTTTTGATTTTAATTTTAATTTTAATCGGAAAAGAGTACTTACATACTAGTTAATAAACGGTGTTACTATATATAAATTATGTAGTATATAAAAACATCATCGAACTATCAATATTTCTTGATTTCAGGAAATGAATAATGATAATACTATTTCTTTACCAAATAAACGAGAACGAGAATAATAATATAAAAAAACTTTAGTCATATAAAAAGAAAAAAACAAATGGAAAAAAAAAAACAAAAACAAAAGATTATCTCCAGAAGCAGTGTCTCAATATTAGGCATATCGTTTGGAATCTCCTGTGTGCAGCTTATCCCAATCCTCGCCATTGCAATAGCCTCCCGTTTATCAAACTCATCATGAAGATATTCATCGACGAAACCACAATGTTCTCCATGTTAATTCTCTAGATGCATCGTACTGATACAGTTGGAGTCTTGTTATAAAATAAATAAATATATATGATCATAAAATCTGTTTAAAACAAAATCATGCATTTTTTTGCTTTTGTTTTACTTGTTTTTTACTTTTGTTTTATTTATTTATTTTTTGCTTAACTTATTCAAGGTTTTAAGAAACTGCTGTTAGCCATTTTGTTACATAGGAGGCTATGACCATGACTGCGACCAAAACCGCCGACTAATGATAATACTATTTCTTTACTAAATAAACGAGAACTAGAATAATAATATAAAAAAAAACTCTACTCATGGATACATAAAAAAAAAAAACAATAGATTATTTCCAACATATGTTGATGTAGTCTTATTCACTCTTCATACAGCAGCTTATCTCCAGAAGTAGTGTCTCAATATTAGGCCTATCGTTTGGAATCTCCTGTGTACAGCTTATCCCAATCCTCGCCATTGCGATAGCCTCCCGTTTATCAAACTCATCATGAAGATACTCATCGATGAAACCACAATGTTCTCCATTTTCAGCTGCAATTCTCACTGAGCTTGTAAGCATGAGCTTGCCAGAGAGTATCTGTAGAATGATGACTCCAAATGCAAAAACGTCTGTCTTCTCAGTGAATCTTCCGGTCGTGACGTACTCTGGAGCCAAATATCCCATCGCCGCACTTGTTTTGAGCGCTGAGAAGACCATATCGTCTGCTAGAAGGTTGTGAAGACCCGAATCAGCGATCAACGGGTTGAATTGCTCGTCGAGTAGGATTTTCTCTACAGAGATGTTTCGATGAACAATTGTAGATTTCTTCTGTTGATCATTTCCATGTAAGTAAGCAATACCTGCAAACAAAAAAAAGATTTGTGTGTTTAAATAGGGTTTGTTTATATGCAACTCAAAGAAGTGAATCAAAAAGACTTTTACCTTTTGCAATCCCTTTGATGATGGAAACTCTTGCAGACCAATCAAGAACCTTACTGGTTTCTTGTTCTTGTAAATCAAGAAAATTCGAGAGCTTTCCTTTTGAAGCAAAGTCATAGATGAGGAAACACTCTCCTCTGCCTCTAGAACAGCAGAAACCGCGCAGCTTCACTAAGTTCTCGTGAGACAGCGATGATAAAAGCTTCAAACCGTTCATGAACTCGACTTCCTCGTTCTTGCAGCTGCTTATGTTGATGCTTCTGATAGCTACAGGTGAGCCATCTCTGAGGATACCTTTGAACACCGAGGTGAAACTGTTCCTGCTCAGTAAGTTAGCTTCTGAGAAGCACTGTGTGGCAGATTCAACCTCTTCTAAGTTAAACCTGAAACTGCTATTAACAACAAAGAGATGAGGCTCTTGTGAAGAGAACTCAGCTCCGTTTCTGCTGTCTCCGAGAGGATCCCACTCTTTGGTGTATGCAAGACTCACGAGAGGCGATGCCCTGAAATCTTTTTGCTGATCTGTGCTGAGTCTTCCCTCGGAAAACTCTGCCGTGTTACTGATCTTCTGCTTCCTTCTTCTGTAGCGGAAGAAGGTCAATAAACTGGCACCAAACAAGGTTATAGTGACGGTGATCACGCTTGAAATCAAAGCAACTTGTGGGAGTCTAGATGAAGATTTCTTGCAGTGTGTTTGGTTGCAATGACTTTGGAGATATACAGACTCCGAAATGTTGTTGTGAAGAGTTGATTTATCGGTATCTGTTTCCCCTGGAGGCTGCTTTAGCTGTTGGATATTGGCATCGTCGAAAGCAGAACAAGCTCTCAAAGAAGGAAAATCGATGCCGCATAGCCCTGTGTTGTTCTCAAACTGGAATCTCTCATTCAACTTCTTGAGACCTTTCAACAAGATTCAAAACAGAGTCAAGAAAACAGAGAGATAAGCTTTACAAAAAGACCATTTTCTAAAATCATAACACTCACCAGTAGGAACAAAGCCAGAGAGAGTATTGTTCCGCAAGTCAAGAGTGTCTAGCTTAGGAATGTTGGCTAGGGTTTTGGGAATCGTTCCTAAGAGATTGTTGAAGCTCAAATCAAGCCTACTTAACATACTCAAGTCTCCCAAACTCCAAGGAATCTCTCCGGTTAGTTTGTTGTGTTGCAGAGACAACACATTTAGCTTCTTCAAGGATCCAATGGTCTCAGGTATCTTCCCTGTTAAGCTGTTGCAGCAAAGATCCATAACTGCAACAAAAGACAACACAACACTTCCAATCAAATCGTTCACAAATACAAGAAAGATCTGTTTAGTGTGGTTTAAGGTAATTCAGCTGCTGCCAAGCCCTCAACTAAATCCGGTTAATCTAAACCGGTTTTGGATTAGCAGGTAGATCAAATTATTGATATTCTTTTTTCAGATGCTAACCTTGCAAGCCAACCATGGAGCTGATCTCTGCCGGAATCTCGCCGGAGAAGTTATTAACATTGAGATAAAGATCTGATAATTCAGTGAGGTTCGTGATCTCTTGAGGTATCTCTCCGGAGAGGCTATTGTAATGTAAGTAAAGACCTGACAAGCATTTGAGCTGAGCAACTGCCGGAGATAGTTTTCCGGTGAGACGTTTCCCTTGTAGCGATATGTTGGCGACTTTCAGGTGCTGGTTACAGGCGATTCCTTCGAAAGATCCGTCGCATGGATCGCCGTTAATCGTCCATGATCGGAGAAGCTTGTTTTCGGGGTCAAGCGACGTTTTGAGATCCATGAGAGCTTTGAGCTCGGCGTTACCTCGAACAGTTGGTGGAGTTGAAAGGAAGATTGAGAAAAGAACAAGTAACGTGGCACTTAAGGAAGCCATTACTGCTCTTTGCTCATATATCTCTCTCTGTTTCGCCTTTTGAACAAAAACAAAAAAGAGTAATTTTTGACGAAAGCCCTAGATTTCTCTTAAGCTAGTTGTCTCTGACTTCTTCTTCTCTCTCTCTATCTTTCTGTAGAATACTTCTCTTTCGTGACAGGAAAAGTAATAAAGGAATACATTTTTGACAGAAAGTATGAAATTTATAAAGCAGAGTACTCTGTTTTGTTCGGTTTGGATCTATGTCTTCGGTACTCTTGGTTGTCTTGGCTAGAGGAAGCTACAAATAGAAACTTTTAGTGGGGGACCTAACTAGAATGGAAATTTTTCTGTTTGTTTCTCGAATTTGGAAACTCTATCATCCACTCTTGTGAATCAAATTTTTTTTTTCTGCAAGAGTATTTCTTGTTTTGGAGAGAACAGGAAGAGGAAGAACAGAGCTTAGCTGGTGAAAAGTTGGAAGACAACAACAACGCATTGAATACTCTGTCTCTGTGTCTCCAAGAGAGAGAGAGATAGAGACGTGTACTGCTTTTGAAAAGGAATGCCAAATCTTGATGACTTTTTTTGGATTGATTTGAAAAACAGTTAATGTTCACATTTGTAACTTGTAAAGTGGGGGGAATGGGATGTATTTTCTTGAAATGTAATTAGCTTTTTAAAATCTTGATGACATTTTCTTGCATTAGTTTATGATTTAGATAGATTTTGCAACTTTGTTTTTAGTATATTTCTATATTAAGTTTTGATTTAAAAGAAAACGTACTTTGTGGATAATAGTTTTTAGACCGAAATAATTAATCTCTGCCCTAAATGTTTTTGTTGCATAAAAATTTATAAAGTTATATATATACTTTTTACAACACAAAAAATGATTTAAACAAAATGAAATATGTTCTTTCCACTAGAATGTCACAAAAATCGTTAAAAAAATGCTATCGTACCGTCAGTTGCGTTGTAGTTTATAAATGGTAAAAGTGTAGAGCGGCTTTAATGTGAGAAAACGATGTAACGAGTGTAGTTGAAGTTCATATTTGGCTTATAGTCATAACTTTTGATATCATTTTGAAACTTGGATCATCCTTTTGTTTTTTGTCAACACTCCTTCGCACTCTCTGAACATTCCACGTGCACGTGTTTACTCGTGCATACACATACACATAGTCTCTAGAAACGTGTAGATTATTTGGATGAGAATAGTTGCTTAAAGAGTCTTTTGTTTAAATCTTATTTCTTATAATATGATTACTGTTTAGTAAGTACATACGGTGTAAAAAAAGTCAATGATAATATCGAGATTAGAGGACAATCATTCCACTAGCTTTTACTTTGTATGCTAATTAGTTGTAGACTAAACTTTTTTTAGTTTATTCAAAGATTAGTTATAGAAACACTATCTGCTAGTTAGAACCTAACTAGTAACTTGGGTTAGAACAGGACGGTTTTGACTATTAGAAGAATCCAGTGTAGACTCCAACATTCGTCTAATTAGATATCTTAGGTTTGTATGCTCGTTATATGTACTATTATACCGAGACATCTTATTATACTAGTTTATCCACTGTGTGACAAATTAACAATATAAGTATGAGATTGGTGAAAATTATAACAAAAAGAATTAATGGAACTATTTGGACAATGAATGCAATCTGAAATCACAAAAATTTATCAACGGTTGCTTTCTCATCTTGAAAACGTAACCGAAGATCGGATGATATGAATCCAGCAATGAAGTAACTAATTTGGCAGTAGATGCTAAGTTCTTAAGTATCGCGGTAATTTTAAAGCGATATAGCTGTAGTCTGTAGACACTATAATTTTAGAATTTACTCCAGTAATCTTATTTATAAACAAAAATTTACATCAACGTTTCTTTCTCAAAACTTTTTTTACGTCAATGTGAATATGTGTGATATAGAGAAGAATAATCATCAGAATCTACAACAGTTCGAGGTTCAGATGAATAGCATAGTAGCCAAGTATTATTTTTGAAACAAAAAGTCTGGACACACTGATTATTGCCATCATAGAACTTTTTTTTTTCTTAAATCATTTGCTTTTTCACCTTTTGGAATTTGAAGATGGGAAGAAGGAAGACTTTTGAGATACTTTGTCTTTTCTTTAATTACTTTGATCTTTAATTGTTTGTTTGATTACTTTTGTCATTTTCTGAATCTCTTTTTTCGCTTGTCTTTTTTTGAATCCATATGATCTAACTCTCTTTAAGAACTTTTGAATTTTGGTTTCTTCTACTATTGTTTATTAGAGTTTTAGCTCAATAGGAGGATATTAATACAAAATAGTACTATGCTATAAGCTCATAGTCTACTTCTAGATCAGGAAACTCGAGTGTTACGAGTAAGGAAATTCTATAGAATTCCATATATCTGTCCTTGGATACGTACATTAGAAAGTTATAACTTTTAGTATTGCTGTTTTTTGTATGATTGAGGAAGAAGACTCATGCAACAATCTCTCCACCATTCTCGGTAGAAATGTAGACTTTTTATAAGTATATCATTTTCTATTAAAGCAAGAAAAGAAAAAGCATCAAAATATCAAAATGCAACACAAATCATTTGAACTTCTATAAAGATAATTGCCCTATTATACTTGCGCTATGAAAGTGTCACAGCAATCTAGAAAATCATTCAAAAAACGGTCACAACATTTCATTACTTAAACACATTTAACTTAATCTAAAATAACAAATGGATACACAATTATTTAACAGCAACGTTCTTAATTATCTCCAAGTACCAATTCCTTCTCTCGCCACACCGCATGAACCTACTCGGTACGAAACCGCTGCGTAAAGGTGTGAAGTCTTGAATCTACATTTCAAAACCGTTAGCAAACGCGAGCAGACCCGTATAAGCTATTATCACTCCATTATCGATGTAGTAATGGGATAATTAAAGAAATCTACTTTTGCTTTTCTCACCAATTTCTTCAAGTCTTGATCAACCATCGCTTGTGTAAGACCTATACAATTACCTATATGTATCTTGCATTGCATGTGGGTGTAGTAATTTTGAGTTTTCACTTTCCCTCTTTGATATATATAATCCGAGATTTGTTGTCTTTTGTGTTGTACACATCCTTTTTAGAAAGCATTAAAACTCCCACCGCAAAATATAAATCAGTATATATATTGGTTTGCCACAAGAGTGTAATCTTATCGTCTCCTAAGTTTCACTTCAAAACAAACTCTCAAACTATGTAGCACTTGATGTACAAATGGTTTTTTGATTGAATAAATTTGACATTCATTCCCAAAAAAAAAAAAAAAAATCCCACGAAGCAGTCCAAACTTTCATTCCTATTTAGGATCAGACAACCTAAAAAGAACAGGATTTGCCACAAGTGGACTCTCAACTAAATAACAAGCCCAAACTTCTCTTCAGTCTCAAACAATTCTATCCTTTATGAGCTTTCAATTCAAAAGAGTGAAGAAGCGACGTAAAGTTGAACAGAACAAGCCTCACGGCCATGTTAATGGCCTCACAAATCCTTCTCCCAGACCTTTGAAATCAGGCGAGTTCTCAAAAAACCTCTCTGGTTTAATCTCATTTGGCTCATCCCGATGCTGAGGATCTCTACGAACCACCAAAACATTCATGAATATCTTTGAGTCTCTATTTTTTTAATGTATTTTTTGAAAGCTATTATCTCATATGATCAACCGGAAGATCTAGGTTATAATCAATCTTTAAATGTGTTTTTGGTTATGCTCTAATCAAAGTAAAATGAAACACATAAAAAATCAAATAGACGAAAACAACATGCATATCCCATTACCAAAACAAATCTACATAGATTTCTCACATAACCGTGGATAGGGTCTCGTATCCTCGCCTCCGCCTCGTAGCAGAGAGCATCGACTGCGTCTTCACGTAGCGACCGTGGGAGCCTTCCCAGAACCCTGTAGACGTTTTGGACTCCGAAAACTCTGTTCACACGATCGAATTTCTCAGGCTCCGTCGACGGAAAATGCGGCGCGAAAACACATGCGGTTGAACACTGCACTTTCATTGCTTTGCACACGGCACATTGGTTCAAATTCATTGTTCCTCTTTTGATTTTTCTCCTTTAAAACATATAAAAATCAATCAGAATGAAAAGAAATAAATTATGAAATCTGTATAGAAAAATAAACTACATTATTGATAATACAGATTATATAGACAACACCATAAAAGATTACGTTCGTGAAACTGATAGTGTAGTGTATATATGTAATAGCACTATTATATATAACAATACCTCAAAAAATCTTGAAAATGCGATGATTAGTTGATGTTGATATCTATGGGGAAAATAGTCTCGGCTTTATAGACATGCTTCAAAATATAATTCAAAGCATTATGTCACCCATTTAGGTAATATTGTAATGAGCTTTAATAAATATGTAAAGTTTGACTGTTTTGTTAGTTTTTTAAGAATTCCCCAAAATATGATAAATTTGACTGCATTGTTTACTTTTTTGGAAATATATTAACACTTTTATATCACTGCAATCTCTCCACCATCATCAATAGAAATGTCGACTTTTCTAATAAAGAAAGAAAACACAAATCATTTGAACATTCACATAGAAAATTGCCGCAACTACTTGTGCTATGAAAATGTTACACCAATCTTGAAAATCATTAAAAAAAAACGACCTTAACATTTCATTAATAAAACACTTAAACTGAACTTACAAGAAAAAAACAATGTATCGAGGAGTAGAGAGATTCAATCTCAAAATGTATAAAAATAATAAAACAAAATGGTACACAATCACCAAGTAACGTTCTTATCTCCAAGTACCAAATCTTCCTTCTCTCGCCACACCGCATGAACCTCGTCGGTGCGAAACCGCTGCGTAAAGGTGGAGTCTTGGATCGGCGTTTCAATACCGTTAACAAACGCGAGCAGACCCGTGTAAGCGATCATCGCTCCGTTATCGATGCAGTAACGGTCATCCGTAGCAAACAGCTTACCGTCACGTTCAGAGCACATCGTCCTCATCATGTCCTGCAAACGCTCGTTACACCCGACGCCGCCAACAATCAAAACGTCTTTCTTGTCACAATGCGCCATCGCTCTCTCCGTGATCTCAACAAGCATCGCAAACACCGTCTCCTGCAAGATACGACAACCATCTTAAAAAAGTCCAAAACTTTGCTAATTCATGTGTCAAGACTCATCATTTATGAACAAAGTGATATTAGCCTTAGCCTTACTTGAAGTGAATAGCACAAGTCTGCTGGTGTGCACTCGTTGTTCTTGAGCTTCTCCTCCGCTGTAGTTTCAATGTAACTCAAGATTCCGCTGAAGGATACATCCATACCCTTAACAGCATACGGAAGATCGATAAAGTTTTCTCCTTTCTTCGCAAGCTATTAACAAAAAACAGAGTTATAACATGGTTCTTGAATCTAGATAGATCCTAAGTTCACTTTACTTTTCATATGAAACTCACCTGCTCAATGTTATAACCAGGGCTTGGATCATTAGAAAGCTTCAAGACTCTAGCGAACCGGTCCAAGCAATTACCAACAGCGATATCAATGGTCTCGCCGAAGATCCTGTATCTACCTTCACTATAAGCAATCACCTGAGTGTTGCCACCACTCACATAGAGAACAACAGGATCATCAGCTCCAGTAACAACTCTCCCCATCTCAATGTGAGCAACGCAGTGGTTCACAGCGACGATAGGCTTCTTCCAAAGCTGTGACAACACCCTAACGACGATGGCCGAGACCTGCAACGGTGCTCCCATCCCGGGACCTTTCGTGTAGCAGATGCAGTCGATCTCTTCAGGGGTTATTTGGGAAGTCTCGAGAGCTGATTTGACCAGAGGAAGAACGTGGTCGAGATGGTGATGTGCGGTCTCTCTTGGAAGGAAGCCGTGACCGGGCGGTGTTATGTATGTATGACGAGGATTCGCCAAGATTGTACCCTCTAATGTCACGATTCCAACACCGATCTTGTTGGCTGAGCCTTCGAAACCAATGGCTATCTTTCTCTTCATCTCTTTTGGTTTTCAAAATCAGAACAACAAAACAGAGCAGGCAAATATCAGATTGTGGGTCATAGGAAGGAAAAAAACTCAAACTTTACTCGCAATTGATTGGTACAGTAAGTTTTTTAGCAAAGGGCTAATGAGCAAAATTACTCATTTTCATGAATTGGTATTGGTATTGAGAGAGATTCAACAATAGATTCGTGTAACCTTAACTTTCGGGAACAGGAGCATTTTAATGTAAAGAATCGAAATTGACTAAGGGATAAAAGAGCTCTTAAAGTAAGAATAGACAAAGACATATGAACATACCTCAACTGTTCAATCTACGCTGTCTTATTTTCAATTCCGACCAAAGTTCTTCGATTGAGAAAACGATTTCTACTTCTCTCCCGGTTTCGATCTCGTCTTGGTTTCAGAAGCTCGAACGAAAGTATTCTTATCTTTTGCTGGTTTCGATCGAGTCTTTTACTCCTTCCCCTGATGATGCTCGATCTAATTGAAGGCCTTTCGAGCTTGAAGCTGTCTTTTTTTTTTTTTCCAGAGAGAGTATCGTGGGTTCAAGCGATTTTAGGGTTTTTCTGCAATTTCGGGTTCTGGTTCAATTTTAATTCTGGTTTGGTTTGGTTCGGTTTCATAATTATGACCAACATATCCTTTTCTTGATTGTCTCTCTTCCAAACAATTTCATCCACTATCTTCTGCGCCTCAGCAACAAATTGTGTAGTGAAAGAATCATCAGACATAGGAAGATTATAATATTTGTGGCACTTTATCGGGTCCCATGATATATTAGATAAACTCTACATACATATCAATGTTAGATCAACATGGTATAAGAGAAACGGAACTACCATCAATAATCTTATCACTGGATTTGCTATCTTACCTAAATGAGTGACATAATATTTTGAATCATGTTTCGAGATAATTAGCCTCTCCTTCCCTTACACAAGATCATGAATCATGATCATTGCACATGTTACTGTATCTTTCATATTGTGTTTTATCAAGTTTCCTCCTTACAAACAATCTAACGACCAATAAATGCAAATTTGTGTAGTTTCCATTAGAAGAACAAGAATTCCAGACACATGTTAAGATCAATCTTGTGTTTATATTAACCAAGCTCAACTTGCGCCAAAGTGATGTTGGTATGATCAGCATCACCATTCATCTATGGTTATAATCAATATTTAAATGTTTTTTGATTATCCTCTAATCAAAGTAAAATGAAAACCCATTTAAAACTCAAATAGATAAAAAAAACAACATGCATATCCATTACAAAGCCAGAAATCTACATAGATTTCTGATGAAATGGTGATAAACAAAGGAAAGGACACCAAGTTATTACGGGACTCAAGGTGCATACAAACATCAAATTAAAAACAAAACACACATTTCATTAAAACAACTATGGTTGATTCTGGTTTTCAGGTAACGGAGGAGGTATCTCCTGAGTCTCACTGGTGCTTCCTACAGCCACAGATGGTCCAGCAGAAGTTGATGCGCCATCATCTCCACGTGGACCAGTACCCATCTCTTGATCTCGTATACGGAAAAAATCATCAGGCATAGGATACCTAACAACTTTGGCACTTGATCGGGTCCCAAAGTGCTCGCAGTCTCATTTCTTGCAGAGAAGATTTGTTCTTTAAAAAAATTGAGACGGTTTTTATAAAGTGATGATATGCCAACATACCCGTGTATAGGGTCTATTGTACGTGCCTCCGCCTCGTAGCAGAGAGCGTTAGCAGCCTCTTCACGTTGCGACTCTGTGAGAAGTGATCCTAGAGTCGTGTAGATTTTTTCGGCTCCAAAGACTCTTTTGACCCGATGGAATTTCTCAGGATCTGTCGACGGGAAACACTTTGCGTAAACACATTGTTCTGAGCAATCCAATTCCAGGTCTTTGCAGACAAAACAAGGGTTAAAGTCCATTGTTCCTCGCTCTCCTTTTAACAATTAAAACATAAAAATCGATCAGAGTGAATAATAAAATGAAAAGAAATAAATCTTGAAATCTTGATATAAAAAATAAACTACAGAATTGAATTATATAGATTATAGACAACAGCATAAAAAGATAGCTAGCAGTACTATGATAGTAGAGTACTTTTTATGATCTCGTTATTAATAAAAAAAAAAGTTATATAAGGTTATACCTAAAACAATCTTGAAAACGTAATAATTAGATGATGTTGATGTCTAATGGAAAAAATAGTGTAGGCTTTATATAGACATATCTCGAAATATGATTCAAAGCATTATGTCACTCATTTAGGTAATATAGCAATGAGCTTTAATAAATATGTAAATTTTGACTTTGTTTTAATTAAATTACAAAACAAAATTGATAAATTTGACTGCAATGTTTATTGTTGTTTTTTTTTATGGTCAAAGCAATGTTTATTGTTTTAGAAGTATAATAACACTTTTATCATGCATTACTTATGTCAATTTTTATCGATGATTAATATAGGGATGACTTTTTATTTTACAAAACCAAAATTCAGATATTTAGTTTAATTATTGGCATTGAATATGTTATGTAATATGTGCATTTAGTCAAGTTTTTATCGCACATATTCCATAACATATTCAATGTCGATATTTGCTGCAATTTAGGAGAAGATGGTCTCTTGTTGAGTTGTTTCGGTTGCAAAGAGACATTATCACACAAAATGTGGACAGTTTAGAGACTCATTGATAGATTTTACCTCCCATTGGACATTTGAGACTTCCATACAAGTATTATGGGTCCAGTGAATATGAATTGAATTGGCCAGTTTTTGGATTTTTTTTTTTTTGTAACAAAAATATGAATTGAATTGACAAACTTCTAGTATGATATTGTACTAATTTAAAGATAACAGTACACTGATATGAATTGAATTGACAAACTTCCAACGTCTTTTGCTAACGTGTCTGCCCTCTTGACTTTCACTCTCACCACCCAGTGGATCTAATCATCACCATTGCAAAAATTCTATTACAGATTCAAAAACTCTGCATATGACTGAATAAATTCTTTTCAAAGAACATTGCTAAATTTTTTATACAAAGATTGACTATAATCCTAAACCTCTTCAAACAATATGTAAATAGACCCAATAAATCCAAATATAACATCTCTCAAATCTCAATAATTCTTCTATTCTAAATTGATATAAGCAAAACAACTTAACAACTCTAATGTGAAAACAAAACAATGATCACCTAACCCTTATATGCACTATCTGTCATACATAGTGGAGTGATTTGGGGAAAAAAAAAATTATATATTTGGTGAAAGATTCATGCAATAGTGCAATAGAAAATCACTTTTTTCACAATGATTTTTTTTTTATTACTATTTGACAAGGTCAGTTTTATTAAAAATTAAGAAAGGCTAAAAGCCGTTTAAATTGAAAAGGGAACCAATTATTTCAAAATTGAAGAAATACACTATTGTTTATGGTTTCAGTTCTAGAGTTACAGAATTTAAATTTCGAGGTTAGAGTTTATTAGTTTGAGGAACGATCCAAAAACTCAAATACTCATAGAAAATATTATCTATTGTACAACTTGTAAACCTAAACCAATTAATAATTCAATTGATATGATATCCTATTATCAGCTGAGTAAGCTATTATCTATATATAACAAACACGCAACCCAAGTAGTATCAAAAGAAGCTAGCTAGAATCAAATACATCCAAATATGGATCTAATACAGCTTCTTCTTCTCTCTGCTCTCTCTCTTTTTCCTGTTTCCTACTTCTTAATGAAGTCTTTGCGTCGTTCCAAGAACAAGCAACATATGGCACCTATGGTTCCAGGAGGATGGCCATTGATAGGCCATTTAAGGGCCTTTGACAACGGAAATCCGACCAACCATACGTTCGGGGCACTGGGGGACATGTTCGGACCAGTGTTCATGACAAAGCTTGGCTCTAACAACGTTCTTATCATAAGCAGCAATGAGGTGGCCAAAGAGATCTTCACAGTCCACGACAGGGTCTTAAGGCGGCCAATCCCCAGTACTGCGTCAAAGATTTTGGGCTACAACGACTCATTCTTGTTGTTTACCCCTGACCGTGGTTACCGGAGAGAGATGCGCAAGATAGTGGTATCCGAGATTCTTTCAACCTCAGTCGTTTGTATGCTCAAGCATACTAGAGCCGGGGAGGTTGATGTGGCGTTCGGAGAGCTGTACCGAAAATGGGAGCAAAAGGGTGACTCTCATAAAGGAGTCCTGGTGGATATGAGCCAAGAGTTTCATGATCTAACCAAAAACGTCTCGCTGATGATGATCGCAGGGAAGAGATATTTCGGAGCAAGCCCTAATTGCGAAACCAGGGAGGCAAGGAGATGTAGTAAGCTGATACGAGACTTTATTGATTACTTCGGGCTCTTTTTGTTATCCGATGTGATACCACCTCTCGGTTGGTTGGAGTGGAGTATTAAGAGGGACATGAAGAAAACGGTTAGTGAGATCGATGAAATTCTTGAAGCTTGGGTTGAAGAGCACAAGAAGAAGAGGAAGGATTCTGGTGGGGGTGACACTGAAAAGAACTTTTTGAATCTACTCCTTGAGATGTTTGAGCGACAAGATAATAATCCAGGTCTTCTTAATGATGGTGCTCATAAAACTATCAAGGCTCTATGCCTCGTAAGACCTCACATAATTTTTAAACTAATATGAAGTATAACAAAAGGATCTATATATATATAATTGAACTAATAATGTGTTACCTTTTTGTGCAAGCAAGAATCTGGTGCTGTCAGGGAGCGAGGCAGTCATTGTGGTTCTAGTTTGGGCTGTCTCCCTACTCCTGAACAATCCGGATGTGCTGAGGAAAGCTCAGGAAGAGATACAACGAACTATTGGCGAGAGCAGAGTTATGGAAGAATCTGACCTCAAAGATTTGGTTTATCTCCAAGCAATTGTCAAAGAGACATTCCGTTTGTACCCACCAGTCACTCTCACCCCTTATAGGGAAGTGAATGAAGATTTTGAAATCTCCAATGGAAACTTTCATGTTCTCGCAGGTAATTAATTCCTATCTTGAAACTCAAACATGTGGCTTCAGTGGGATAAACATTATATTATGAGGAATCTCAAATTTTAAAAATATGAAACCTAATAAACGTTTGTAGGTTTGTGAGTGGGTCATGTGACTGCCTCTACATCGCTAAGTACGTAGTTTTAAGATGGGCTGCTATGTATATTCACCATACATGTAACATTTCTCTAGTCTCTTTCTCTAATGACATGCATAGTTTTATTTCATGTCGATTAACCAGGGACACAATTGATGGTAAACGTCTGGAAGATTCATAGGGATCCGAATCTTTGGTCTAACCCTGAAGCATTCGAGCCAGAGAGATTCTTGACATCAGAGAGAGAAGTGGATGTTGGTGGGCAGAGTTACAAGTTAATTAAATTCGGGTTGGGACGAATGGGGTGCCCCGGGATCTCCCTTGGTACCAAGATGGTGCAATATCTCCTAGCAAGGTTCTTGCACAGCTTTGACGTGGCAAGACCATCTAGCCAAGATGTGGACATGACCGAGAACAATGGGTTTGCCAATTACAAAGCCACTCCTCTTGAAGTCTTCATCACTCCTAGGCTTCATAAATCTCTCTACCAAAATGGATCACACAAGCTTGACTAGTACTACATTGATCTTTTGTCACCGAGACTAGCTAACCAAAATAGTATCGGGATCATTCCATGATTCGACATTCCTAATGTTACTTGTGGAATTAATAATATATTTGGAATAGCAACATATTCAATATATTGAGTTGTTTCGGTTGCATAGAGACATTGGCACACAAAATGTGGTGGACAGTTGAGAGTTCCATACAAGTATTATGGGTCCAGTGAATATGAATTGAATTGACAAGCAAAATGAATTGGCCAGTGTTTAGATTTTTTTTTTTAATATATATATATATATATATATAACAAAATTATGAATTGAATTCAGAAACTTGTAGTATGATATTCTACTAATTTAAAGATGGTAGTAATAATTGATTAATAAACTAATCAAGTTTATTTGTATACTATAAGACATTATTTAAAGAAAGGCTTTATTAAATATAATCAGGATAGATGCGTCGCTGAGACACATTCTTTTTACAAGGCACTAAACTTTTAAAACTCCACCACAATATAAAGAAAAGTAAATTACAAGAAAACAAAAACAACTTGGCCGAACCAAACTTTCCTTCATACTTACTTACTTAAGCAGTGTAGAGTTTGGGATCAGACAACCTAGGAACAGGAATAGCCACAAGTGGACTCTTCAACTTAAGAACAAGCCCAAACTTCTCTTCAATCTCAAACTTCTGTCCTTCAGGTGCTTTCCAATCAAAAGAGTGAAGAAGCGACGCAATGTTGAACAGAACAAGCCTCTCTGCCATGTTAATCGCCGCGCATATCCTCCTCCCTGATCCAAAAGGCAAATACTTGAAATCACCTCCATTGAAATCAAGCGAGTTCTCCAAAAACCTCTCCGGTTTAAACTCATTTGGCTCATCCCAATGCTTAGGATCTCTATGAATCGCCCAAACATTGATGAAGATCTTTGAGTCTTTAGGCACCGTGTATCCCGCAACCACCGAGGTCTCGCTGTTCCGGTGAGGAACAAGAAGAGGAAGCGTTGGATGAAGTCTAAGTGTCTCTTTCATAACCGCTTGTAGATAAGGAAGCTTAGGTAAGTGTGACTCCTCAACGATGTTGTCTGTACCAACAACTTGATCCATTTCTTGTCGGATTTTCTTTAAAACTTCCGGTCTGCTTACGATCTCTGCCATGGCAAATTCGGATGCGTTAACCGATGTGTCGACACCACCAAGAACCATATCCATAAGCAAAGACTTGACATGAGTCAACGAGAGAGGAGCTTTCTCATCGTCGTCTTTAACTCTAATCAAGTACTGTAAGAAATCTTCCTCATCTTCGCTTTTCTTCCCCACCATTTTGACATGACTCTCCATAACTCGGTCGAAAAGAAGATCGAGCTTCTTCACATGGACTTTCATCTTCTTAACAAGTCCCTGGAAATCGAATCTTGCGAACAAAGGAAAGAAATCTGAGTAGTTTTGAATCCCTTCGATGTCAGAGATATCAGAAATTAGGGTTTTGAGCTCGTTTCCTAAGCTTGTTCTCTCTTCTCCTTCAACAGTCGCTCCCCACATCATTCTTGTCACAACGTTGAAGATCGAAAGGAATATTTGCTCTCCAAGGTTGACCGGAGATCCGTCGCGAGCCATTTCCGACATATAAACGACGGTTTGTCGGGTTTCTTCACGGCGAGTGGTGTAAGAAGCTTCAAGAGTCGGCGTAGTGAACATCTTCATGACGCAGAGCTTACGGAGTCTCCTCCAGTGGGTGCCGTAAGGAGACCAGAGGATGTCTTCTCCACCGTAAGTGTTGATCTTGCCTACTTCGGGGAGATCGTGGTTGGCGAAGGCGATGTCATGGGTTTTGAGAACCTCACGAGCCATGTCTGGGGAAGAGATGACGATTGCGAGTTTGTATCCTAGGTGGATTTTCATGAGAGGACCGTGTTTTTGAGTTAGGGCTTGGAATTGCGTGTGGAGGATGTCGGAGTTTAGGAACGGGAGGTTTCCGACGATAGGAAGTGGCCAAGGTCCCGGAGGCAACGGTGGTCCGTTCTTGGATTTGGATTTTCCTTGAATCCAGAAGTAGCAGAGAACGGCGACGAGAACAGCGACAGCGAGCATGACGGAGCTGTACGTATCCTCTGTGTTGAGGATATTCGAGAGAGTAAAGTTAGACGAAGCCGTTTCCATTTTTGTCTTCAGAGAAAGATCTATCTCTGTCTTTTGTTTCTTGAGATAGAGAGAGAGAGACTTTGATTATTTGTTTTGTGTTGTGTGGTGGTGAAGATAGAAGAGGGGAGTGTGGAGATTTTATATAGCGTAGGCTTTAGAGAGAATAAATGTAATATTTTATTATTATTATTATATTATGAGATCAAGTTGTGTGAAATTTCTCACGTTCCTTCATATTCAAAACTCAAAAGTGAAAGATCTGAGACGGCGTTGAAATTGGTATTAGGTACAAACTTACAAGTACTCTTACAAAAATCATGCAGAAAAGTAACACTACACAACCGTTTAATTATTACATAAATGAGATACTATATTGCTATATTAAAAAAGCACTTGAAATTATTCTTCTATATTGATAAGTAAAAAAAAAAATCTAAATACAGTAATACCCAAAAACAAAAATTCGACATTATGAGTACTCGTAATAAATGATAGTTGAGCTAAATATAATAATTGTAATAAATAATAATGATAATAATAAATGATATATATCTTATTAATGAGATAAGAAAAGTACAACGCCAATCTTGACTCAGTCGCCACCAGTGTTGAAGTCCCTATTCAAATAATTCAAAGAGAGCAATGAGACAAAAAAAATACAAAAGAATTTATACGCAGCCGCGAAAATAGTGTACTAACACATCACTCCACTTGTGAATATTCAAAACCTTATCAATTATCCATTAATCAATAGCTGTAATAGGTTGAACTTGACTTATCATTCTATCGTCTATGCACTGATTTTATATGTTTACCTTAAATATTTTTTTTATAATACGTTAGAAGAAAAAAAACGAGACCTTTCAATATTTTAAACTCCTTAGTCCAACTTTTTGTGTGTGTCGGTTGCTGTTACTTGTTAAGACCGGCTGGCTAGTCCACTGGATCTAGCTCAATAACATTCCAACATAAAAACTATATTAAACTAAAAGCGGTGTAAGAAATTCAGTAATTCGAACTTCTTTTATTAAATTTTTTTACGCAATAGTTTTCTTTATAAATCATTCAAAAGTCAAAAACATTTAATTTTTTCAAGTGCAGCACTACAAAGCATCAGTGTGCAATTATGCGACCAATTTCTCATATGAACGTATAGTAGCATGCATTTTGCTGTGGTGTGACTGGTGTTACCATTTATTCTTGTTGTGTTTCTTTTTTGAGCACGATCTATTCATTTTTTTAATCGTTTATTTTCACATTTGATTATTTTTCCTACAGTCCTAGTGTTAGTATGTGAATCTTTTTATTACTATTTTCGTTTTTCTATATATATTTTTGCAAATGTTCCATTTTTGTTTAACGTTTGCATTCACAAATCAAACAGTTTTCGTTAACTGAGTTAAAGAAAGTAAATATCAAAACAAACCTAAAAAAACAACTGCATACACTGATACACACTTGTATATAAAATAAAACCAAACTAAATAATGGTCAAAGTTTGTTTGTTATTGAAGATTGAAGTAGCAATGGGCTTGGCTTAGTTGCAGTAAATGAAACTATCATGGGCCTCTTATTAGTTCAGGAACAATTTGGGTCTTTAAAATTTTCGATTGTAGCAGTGCAAGATCCAACCCGTTGGTAAACGTTTTCCTTGAGTATGTAACACGATAACAGCCAATGAAAAGTTTGTATGAAGTAATCAAAACTTTCTCATCAATTTGTATAACTTTTTATTAGTGTACGTACGTAGCCGGAGAGCTGATGATGTCTTCGATGAAACCCCCTAGGGTTGAGACGAGGCAATGTGATAAATTTGCATGCATCATCTCGGAGGCGAGAGGCGGTTGTCCCTCACGGAAGCTATCATTGCAACACATTTATTTATATCTTGTTTTCTTTCTTAAACCGGATATTTCTACACACAAAATTGGACTAATAGTTCGAGTATGCAACATGTCATGCAAACTATATGCAGTGACAAAGGATATTTCTTTTCAACATAAGTCAATTTTTTGCATTGCTTTTACCAAAATGGCGACTATTATCGGACCACCATATATATTTTGGTCATCTATCTCAGATTCTCATTATTATGTATGATTTAGCATTTTCAGTAAGATGTAAATATATATATATGTGAAAAATAAATTGATATATCAAATAACAGAAATAAAATATTCTTTTCAGAACAATTACAGTCAGAAGTTCAAAAACTAACACTTATATATGCAATGATGAGGACAAAAGTGACTTCACTTACAATGATGCCGCCTCTTTATATTTACAGTTCCCTACATACACACATATATCTATATGTATAGATGAATATATATATATATATATATATGCATGCATATTATAATGACGAAGGCATTACTCGTAAGTTACGTAAGTGGTGACTTGAAAATGGGATTAAAGCAAGAAGTTGATTTAAAACTTTTCGTTAAGGGAAACAAGCAAAATGATTAAGAGTCTTGAATCTTATTTAATTAATAATTCGCACATGAGAGTCTTAGAGAATTAGGAGAAAGTGGTGGGGTTTAGAGCGGAAGTCTCTATCGAATCCTAAGGTGTTGAAATGTCACATTTTGATTTCTGTTGATATATTGAGTTTAAGAGACTTAATCATGTACATATTCTCATTTTCGAGACCTATCTATCATGTTAATGTGGGGGTCTCCCATACTTATATATATATATTAACGTGTGATTCGTGAGAAGAAAAAAATAGGTTGTTGCTTATACTTATTATTTTTCCTTATTTTTGTGGTTTTGTTTGTTATTACATTAAATACTGGTATGTATATTTACATATGCATATATTGTGACGAGCAATTGTGAAAATATTATTCTTTTATGTGATCTGTTTTTCTGTCATTAGGGTTAGTCTTAATCACACGCAAACAAACACTTGGGACTTGTGTATTACATTTTGTCTAGGGGCCATGATTAACAAAGAAGACAAGAGACACAAGTTGTACGAGGATGTTGTGACTTAGGAATCGACTTCATGAAACAAAGAATCACATTATTTTCACACATAATAATTTAACAGACCATATTCTTATCCCTTAAGATAATTTTCATAAGAAATAGTAATTCACAAAATATATGTATTACTTGGTGATTAATGATTCAACCAACGAGATAAAGGCTAGTACGTACGTAGAGACTCACAGTCGCAGGCAACGAAGATTTTCGTGGTTCAGAAGTGGGAACATATGTCGACAAATCGCAAGTAATAAAACATATTGTTTTGTAAATATTATGTTGAGCAGCATAGTAGCAGAACGAAACGCAAGTCAAAGAAATCGGAATCAAGAAAAAGAATGCTAAAGCATTAATTACTAACTCATTTCGTTGAATTGAACATTGTCCTAGAGCAGGAATAAAAACTCTTCTGGCTTTATACTATATGAACATAGAGAGGTTTTCAAAGGAATAATAATGAAAATTATGGACTTTAACTATCCGAATCCACTCGAATTAAAGGCAACAAACTTATTTTACAGTAAACAAAGAGAATAATGTATTAGATTTCACTTCACTACCCAAAATTAAGTTTGGATAAGCGGCATATAAACTCCCAAGTCCCAAAACCTATAAATGCTATACTCATTTAGATATCGGGTCGCAACTCTTATTTGGTATACCAAATAAAATATTATAGATCCGCTTGTTTCATCATAAGGATAACTGGAGAAGAGTATTTCACAATTTCATTGACTGGCATTAATATCATATTTTAGCATACATTCTCTTAAAGAAGAGTTTTTGAAACATTTCCGATCGGGTTCAACAAAAGAGCCGAGTCACAAAATCACACGTCTGGTAAAAATTATGCAATATGATACGGCAAAGAATTTTTAATTCAAATATCTAAATGCAGACTACTAATCCATGAACCCAAAATTGCAAGTCACCCACAAGTCGCAAATTAGAACAGTCTAGAAACCTAAATTGATCTTACTGATCCATACGTGTCAAATACACATTCGTGTAATCAGCTATTTTAGTTTCCCATTCTTACCAAAAATAGAGACATATATATATACGTAAATAGGTTCATGTGCGGTCGCCACACACCAAAAAAAAAGTTATTGCAATTGGCTAAAAAAATCTCGAGACCTATCCCTTTACCATATTTAAATTATTTTAAGTAAATTTCCACAAAATACATGCAGAACATTCATAATTTAGAAAACAATTATTATCGTCAATATTGAAATGTTGACAAAATCAAATATAAATTAATAGTAGTATATTAATTTAGATATAATTTGAAATAATTAAATTTAAGAAAATACTTAAAAGTGTTAAAAGAAAATTCATTGAAATATCAAACCTAGTATTTTCTAAACCTAATTAATATTTTGGTATATTAAGAATTCAATATTTTGGGGTAAATTGAAAGAAAAAAACTAAATCTGGTAGTTTTAAAGAGTACACTAATTTTAGTTATTTTTGTTTTATAAAAAGTAAAACTACCTTTTGTTACAAAAATAAATGAATAGAATTAATACATATTTTAGGTTTATTTTTTTTGTTAAAGTATTTTAGGTTTATTGATCTGATTTTGGATTGAAAATGCTGTTCATCTTTCTTTGTCTTTATTTATATTTTCCTTATGTAAATTATGAAGTGGAGGGAATACTTTACAAGCTTATGGCATTCATGGTAAAATACAAAGTATATATTTATTTGATATTGAACAGATATTTGGGTCAAAAATATATGAGTCGCACGTGTTATTGCGTACATTGGCACGCACCCTATCCTTTCATATTAGTTCCAAAGTCATTTTCACCAACCAAATGCAACATCTCCAACACTCCTTTCTCTGAGCCTATTTGCGACAGATTTGACAAAGTAAGACAAACTACACTAATTAACCTTAGTCATTATTTCTTAGATTAGTCTTATTTATATCAGAACCTTAATTCTTTAGCTGATTAACTACTAATTGATCTATTTTATATATTAAAATGAACCATTCAATATCAAATCTAAATGAACCATTATATATGTATGATATATGATCATTGCTATGATATTCGTGGATAAAGTAAGATACAAACGATCTTCTACGAAACTGTTGTTATTTCCCCATCATGACATCTGTATTTATATGTTTTTGTTTTTGTTTTTGAGCAAATCTGTATGTATATGTTATAACTTATATGTTATATTTTGATCTATATTTACAATCGTATGAAACGAGCAATGCAGAACTCTTATTTAAACCCATATATTGTTTCTGATTATCAGTGGTAAAGTAGTGAATAAGAGTTTAATTTATATACTCCTTCTATTTCATAATAAGTGTATTTTGGGAAAATGTATCTGTATTATAACTGGATGTATCTGGATGTGTTTTGAGGTTAATACATCCAGTTATAATGCATATACATTTTCCCAAAATGACATTTATTATGAAACAGAGGGAGTATATACTATAAGTTTATTTTTATAAATTTTACATAATATATACAAATATTATTATTATATTTATATTCTTTCTAAAATGACATATTTGATTGGTTAACAATCAATAGCTACAACAAGAGAATTACAATTTCAAATGGCAAAATACAAATCAACAGTAAAAAAGTATCTGTAATGATTCTTTATCGAATGAAAGATAGTAAAATTGCCGATTGGATTTTTAGTGAAACGCAAACGCATTTTTTTAATTTTAACATGCAATTTTATAATTTTATAATTTTATAATTTTTCTATGTTATATATAATGTTCAAACCAATAATTATTAATTGTGGAATTTTTTTATCATAATATTTTTCCGCTTCTAAAATACCTTTTTGACTACTAAATTAGTCTTGCCATGATGCCAGTAAAAATTTGGTTATGTGTTAGCATTAATAGGGATTTATTAAAACTCTTTATTTTATTTAAAAACAATGGTTGGGGAAAAGGTTTGAGAAGGTTATATATAGGTGGGTGAGCTTTGGTAGGCTTTTGACATAACTTGCAAGCTGTTGAGATTTTCCATCCTCAATAACTTTTATCTTTGCCTCTCTCTTCCCTCTCTCTCTGCTCTCTATTTCACATAGCCATACAATCACACATACTATATATTATAAGCAATAATATTTGATGGGGAGGCAGCCATGCTGTGACAAGCTAGGGGTGAAGAAAGGGCCATGGACGGCGGAGGAAGACAAGAAGCTCATAAACTTCATACTCACTAACGGCCATTGTTGCTGGCGAGCTTTGCCAAAGCTGGCTGGTCTCCGCCGTTGTGGGAAGAGCTGCCGCCTCCGGTGGACTAATTACCTCCGGCCGGACTTGAAAAGAGGTCTTCTCTCTCACGATGAGGAACAACTTGTCATCGATCTTCATGCTCATCTCGGAAACAAGTAAGCCTTAAATAACTAATCATATGTTAATTCCCCAACTTTTATGTCTTACACTTAATGATTACATTCTCCGAAATTTTACATTTATGCGAATTCAAAGTCCTGCGTTGTAACAAAAACTAGAGATTATAGGATAAACATTAAATTGGAAACTTGTATTGTAATGATAAAACTATAAAGTCAATTGCATGTACAATATATTATATAACATGTTTTATGTTTAGTATATATATTTTCTAAATTATACCAAATGATTAATTACATAGTTCCAAATAAGATGGTCAAAATCATATTGACGAGCTATAAGTTTTTGTTTTGCATTTATTTTTCTTTGAAATAAACTTCAAGACAAAGTAACGTCCTTCTCTTCCAAAGATAATGTTAACTTATTTTGTCAATTTTCTTGTGTTTATATTTCAAGATTTGAATATCTCCACCAACACTTAATATTGTATTATATATTCTTGTGATTAATATTTTCTTAAAACCTTTGGTTGTATTATAGGTGGTCTAAGATAGCTTCAAGATTACCCGGAAGAACAGATAACGAAATAAAAAACCATTGGAATACTCACATCAAGAAAAAACTTCTTAAGATGGGAATCGACCCTGTGACGCATCAACCTCTTAACCAAGAACCTGATAAAACCGATAATCTCAAAAACATTTCCTCTACTTCAGATGATATCTCAGTGGAACCAAAGACCACCAAAAACGTAGAGACAGATGGCACAACTACAGAAGACGAAAACAGCAGCACGGTTACTGATCAAAACAGTTCCATGGATAATGAAAATCATCTACTTAGTAACATTTATAATAATGAAGAACTGTTTAGTTACTTATGGTCCGAGGAAACTACTAAAGCTGATGCCTCGTGGAGTGATAGTAACTATGGCGTTGGTGGAACACTATATCATGACATTAGTATTTCCGGCGGAGCAGATTTTCCGATATGGTCACCGGAAGGAATCAACGGTAGCGACTGGATGTTTTTGGATTATTGCCAAGACTTTGGTGTTCATGATTTTGGGTTTTGACTCTTCACCATTGACTTACTTTGGCATGGAGATGAGTCACAAGCATTAGTGTCACGTTATATGCATATGTGGCATATACATGTATATATATATACAAGTATACAAATCATAGACAACATATATAGTAGAGTAAGAAATCCATGTAAAGCAGTAAGGGTGCACCATGGTTTTCAAGTATTATTTATTTATTAGGGTATGGTGTAGGGGGTTCGTCAAAGTCAATAATATATAATTTAATTTTCTTTGAGTTGTTTAATTAATTAACCACATATTCTTAAAACCCAAGAAAATATTAAGAAAATAATGTGAATGTATGTTTCAATATTAGGCCACCCATCCTCTCTCTTGCATATCTTTATACCGTTTTTTTTTATTCTCTTTATTTAATTTATACTTGTAAGTAGTATCATTGTATGCATACTAAATCATCTAAATGAGAAATATTAATATACAGACCAATAAAGATCACATCAGTTTGAGTAATTTCTTAAAAATGTTAATAAAAAAAACAATAGCTAGTTACTGTCTTTTCAATAAGAAAGTACGTTTTATACACTTCGATCGTAATTAAATAACTAGTTACTGTCTTTGGACGATTCAGAATTCAAGAATGATTTTTCAACGTTTGAATCTTGTACCAGTTAGAGCTGTGGCTCCTTTTATTTTTGGTTTCTCCATCATTGACCATATGTATCTATTATTTTCGTCATTTTAGAATTTTATTGATTTTCAAAGAAGATATGATCTTAATCAACTAAATTAGTATGAATATAGTATGTGGAGGAGTTTCTCATTGAACATCCACATCACTTTTCTGAGTGGAATCAGTTGTCGCACCAATAAATTTTATTGGCCGTACAACATTTCGGAGTTTCATATCAGTTTCAAAGTATGTTCAGTAGTTCACATAATTGTATAATAATAATAGGAATAGGTTTTTCTACAAACCACATAATATCTTAAAATAGAAACTTATGTATTTTGTACCAACTCGATAAAATCAATTAAACTTTGTATTGTTTTACAGTTTTTTTTAAAGGTTCCATTGTTTTTATTCTTTAGATGATGTTTACATTTTGCGTTGTTCAATATTAATTATTCTTAACCATTTCTTTTTGTCCTTAATCGCATTTCTTGATTTGAACTAGCATATCACAAGCTTCGTTTACTATCCATAACCATATTATATATTAAAAAAAAAAAACTAATCCGTGATCTTAATCATCAATTGCTAGCCGTCAAAGAAAAAAAAAATCATCAACTGCTATTAAATTACAAGTGATCAGATTCTTATACTAGATTCTAACCAATTTGGTTTATTTCATACCAATATTCAACGCTACAAGAATCTGATCAAAGAAAAAACAATATCTTAATTGTTTGTAAATGTGAACCTTCAAAGTGTTTATTTTTCAGGTCAAACCATTTGAAATGAGATGATACGAGTTTGACACTGAAGTTAAATGTGTGAATGTAACAACACCGTCAACACTGGACTTATATATATATATATATATATATATTTTTTTTTTTGTGTGTGTGTGGTCTCGACATATATGTCAACGAACTAGAGAAAGAGTTCCTCTTCTTCATCACATTAATGCACTTGACCAAATAATCTCACTCAAGATTTTTGATTCACAAACTATTACACACATTTTTCTCTTATACAGTTAAATATGTACTAAACTATGGCAAGAATTGCTAAGTTGTCTTGTACATTTGCATAATAAAATAATGATTTCAAGCACCAAACGAATTCTCGGATGATACCAATTTACCCTATTCATCTTCTTTTGAAAAGATTTTTGATTCGACAATTCTTCATCCGCTCATAACCTTAAAAACATCATTGGCTGCACTTCGAAACCCGCTGAAGAATTAAGACAATATCACAATTTGTATCCTCAGCCAAAAAAAAAAAGCTGAACGATTTACTTTGTTGTGTCTGCGACCTTAATTCTCATCTGATGCTCTTAACTAAACTCGGAAAGTGAGAAACGGAGAAAGGTGAATTACTAAAGAAAAGGAAACGAGTTATGATTCTGTTCAAACTTCTCTGACAACGAAAACACAAAAGACAAAAAAAAAAAAAATCTTCAACATATCCCTCATCTCAACGCAACTAAACACAGAGAAACGGCAAAGAGAGAAGTCGTTGTTTTTGATCACTTGGGTCCTCCTCCGAGTTTGCCCATCATCTTTGCAATCACCGGAGCCACCTTCGGATTCGCCTGATGCTTCGCCAGATTCGCAGGGTTCTTCATCACTGTTCAACACTCAAAACATATGTTTTATTAACACTTCAAACAACTACTCAAAAACTTTGGTAGAAACAACACCAAATGCAACTTTAATCGAGTCATACCATCTTGAAGAGCAGCCATGACTTCTGGGTCGCTAAATGCAGTCATTAGCTCAGGATCCTGCTCACACAAAATAAAATGAAAATCAATCTCATAACTTCAATCCCAACTCTTTGCTATACCAACTTCAAAAATCTCAACTTTGCTTATTCACACTTACATTCAATATTTTGCTGAAGTCCATACCACCCGGCATACCGCCACCGCCAGGCATTCCTCCAGCACCGGGCATACCGCCCGGAAATCCGCCAGGCATACCGCCAGCGCCCGGCATACCGCCAGAACCAGGCATACCGCCCGGAAAACCGGGGAATCCGCCAGGCATACCGCCTCCACCGGGCATACCTCCAGGGAATCCACCGCCCATTCCACCTGGAAATCCGCCGGGCATTCCTCCTGGGAATCCACCGGGCATACCTCCTGGGAAACCGCCTCCAGATTGTCTGCTCGATGATGACTGTTCTTCTTTCTTAGCTTTATCATAGGCAGCCTTACAGTAAAAGAGACATGAATAAGCCCCAACAGAGATAAAAACAAACCAATACGATTGTCAAGTAATGTCAATTCAAGTGAGGCTAATGTTATCAAAAGACGATGCTGATAGATTTCATGGTCTAACAAAGCTACCTGTGCTTCAGCGCGGCGACGTTGTCTGTCACGTGCAGCCTTTTTGTCATCCCTTTCCTTCCTTAGTCTGTCATACTTTCTACGGTGCTCCTCAAGCTTATGAGCATTAGGTTCGACCTATACAGATTTCAAGAAAGTTTGCAACTTTATCACGCTAATGCATTTGTTTATGAATCATAAACGATCAAACGGATAGACAAGCCTGCGCATACCTTTTTCAGCACAGCACTAATTTCCTCATCATAGTCTATTGTAGATGCAAGGTGAAGGTCTTTTGCAGCCTCTGCCCATTCACCAAGCATGGCACGAGCCATACCACGTGACTTGTATCCCTTGGCAGAATCAGGGTTAATCTGCAAATCCCAAACACAACAAAATAAGATTCAATACCATAACTAAGAAAGCAAAATTTACCAGGAGAAGTATAGACGCTAACTGTACCTCCAATGCGGCGTCTGCATCACGAATAGCAGCGTTTGGCTTCTTCAACTTAATGTAGACGCTAGCTGAAACACAAATGTAGACAATGAGGCAAAGAAAAGACCATTTGATGGAAGTTAGATGAGCAAAACCAGCTTCTAACTCACCTCTGTTTCCATACATAATAGCTGATGTCGGGTTCAAAGTTATTGCCTGAGTTAAATGCTCAATGGCTTCATCAAACTTTCCTTCAGAGAGAGCCTCCATGGCTTTGCCCTTAGCTTCTTGAGCAGCTTCGCGATTCTCGTCAGTCACCTCCACTGATGCATTTCCCATCTGTGTCAAACACCAAGAAAGTTTAAGAGATATGATCAAGGGAGAAATTAGTAAAAATCGAAAAGGTGAGGTTTTCAGTCATATTACCTTTTGAGGAGGATCATTGTCAGGTTCAACAGTGTCTCCTTCAAGCTCTACATCAGATTCAACAATCTCTTCCTCCTCTTCTTCTTCCTCCACTTTGGGTTTCGGTTCTTCGGTTTCCTCCATATCATCATCACTCTCTTCTTCCACTTCGAAACTTCTCTGTTAAAACAGAACCAATCAATCAAATTACAAAAACTCTTCAGCAAAGCATAAACGCAATCACACAAACATAATAATTGTATACCGCTTTAGTGTCCTTGTGTTCTTCATTACCAGCAGCAGTAGGTAGCTTAGCACCAAGACTGAAATCATGCGAATAACAAAAATATCATCAGAAGGAGGAAACCCACAGAACATTCCTCAAATAAACCCAGAATTATCAAACCCTCAAAAGTACAATAGAATAGCCTCACAGATCAAAGATACAAACAAAAAGTTCAAATCCAGGAAATTAACAACCAAAGGCAGGACCTTTCTTCAACAAAAGGGAAAAGGGAATATCAATTTCACGAGATTTCAGTGAAGAGATCAACATATGATACACTATCCACAAACATAGACTCAAAGATCAATACTTTCTGAGTCTCAACCACCACAGATACAAACCAAAGCATAACAAAAAACGATTAGATCGAAGCAAACAAAGTTAGAGAAGATGAAAAAGTACCTCTCGAGATACTCGCGGAAGAAAGAGAGCGAAGGTGTAGAGAGAAGGGAAGGGTCTGACTTGCATTGATCGATGAAGACCTTGAGCTCGCTAAGCTTCGTCGAATCCATCTTTGCTTCCGATCGGAGAGAGAGAGAGAGAGAGGGACGGAGACAGAAAGAGTGTGTGTGTTTAGGTCTGAGTGTTTGTTAAAGTCTCGTCTTTTTCTCTTTTAAGTCTTTGTTTCGATTTCGAAAACTGGATAAAACTTAAAAGAGAGGAATAGGGCTTTTGTTCTGCTTCTTCTAGCACCTTCTGATTTATAATCCTCTGCTTCTCTCTCTATGTTCAATGGATAAGCATCGGCGGGACCGGTCTCGAGCTTTTCGTCGGAGGAAAAAAGAAAACTCGAACCGTTTCAACTGAACCGAACCAAACCAATAATGTGTAGACTCGGGCTTTTTGTTCGGTTGTTTAGTAGGCTTTTATAAGCCCGTTAATAAGGCCCAATACTAAAATACCAAAATTAGCACAATTTTTATTTTAAAATGAGCTTATATTTTGAGTTTTGTTTTTAAGTTTTTATATTTTAGATATTTATTTTTGAGCTTTTAATATGATTAATTTTAAATTAAAAAAAATATTTAGTTTACAAATTCTTCATCTGTGAAAAAGAGTTTGAAAAGCAACCAAATACAAAAGATTACAGAAAATTTACATAAAATAATTATCAAACTATATAGAAAAAAACTTTAAAAAGATTTATATATAAATCTAAAGTAAAATCATTCATATAAAATAAATACTTATTTTACAAACTATCAAAACTACAAAGTCTCTTTGAAATAAAAAAAATTTAAAATATTATTTCGAATATAAACAAACAGAATTTGAAAAAAGAGTTGCAAAGTAAACAATTACGAAAAATGACAGAAGAATTTGCTTTGAATAGTTATCAAACTTAATTAAAAAGGCTCGAAAATATTAATGCTTAAAACTAAAGTAAAATAATTCATATCCACTTTACTGTGTGAAATAAATGAAGGTTTCTCATAAATAGAAAAAAAAATAAAATGTTTAATTATATAGCATAGAAATGAATTTGATTTATACGAAGGATGAAAAAATGGCAAATATTTATCAACTGTTTTTTTCAATGATGGTATATAAAATTGATATTCGATTACTTTACTCATCAACTTGATAATATATGAATTTTAATATAAAATATATAAATAATCTAAAATAAGATTATTAATTATACTTTTTAACATAGTCATACTATTTACATTCACATGATATGAAAATAGATAAAAATATTCTCACACATATTCACAAATATAGTGAGGTAGTTCATCATTGAAAACGGAAAACGTCTCAAATCAACTAAAATCAACAATTTATCAAGTAAGCATAATTTTTTGATATAAAAGCCCATCAAACATATGTATTATTTAAACAGATCTCTTGCTCTGTCTAACCAACTCTAACTAAAATTCTCCTCATTTAGAGTTATAACTGATCACGGAACTGAATGAGATGGAAGCTTGCTTGTAATAAGAGAAAAAAAAACAGTAGATTGCAATCAGAATTGCGAGACTAAAAGCTATAAAAAAGGGGAAAAAAATAAAGGACTGCTAATTTTGCTTGAAAATGAGTTAAATTTTTTGATAATCGATAAAACATTAAGGGAACATTTAGTTTAAAGTGGAAAAAGATCGATGATAATTTCACTTTGTTGATCTATGAAAATAAAATGTAGAAAAATATGATAAATCAATTTTGCAGTGTATAAATATATGAATTATTTTTTAACAATTAATACATCACAATCTATATTAGAAAAATAATTTTACACTATAAATATATATATATATTAGGACAACAAAAATATTTTTAAAATAAAAGATAACTATAACACACAATAATATTATATGATAATAATATAAATATATAAAAATTTAATTAAATTATTCAATAAGTTTGTACAACGCCCAGATACAACTCTAGTAATATACAAATGCATAAGAAGCGAAAAGAGAGGAGGATATTTTCAAGACATTCTTTATAAGATAATATATATTTTATTTTATTTTTAAGGGGGGGGGTTTAGTAGATAAATTTTAAACAATTTTCAAATTTTCTAAATTCAACTGTTATTAGTTCATATATTCTTTAATGTATCTAATTATTGGGACTATATTTTTACATAGGAGTTTCAAAAAAATTATTATCTTATTATCTTATTAAAATTTGCTAATTTTTACATTGGCCCGACTTGAGACCGGTAAAAATTATTAATTTATAGTGATTATTAATTTATCGAGTATTATTTTATATAAGTTCTACTGTATTAGTATCACATAAATTCTCCATAATTTTATTCATAGAAAGCAAATTTCAAAATATAATGGATATACATGAGATATTTAAAATTTATGTAGTAAAAAAAAACTATTTGCACATAAATACCAAACGAACAAAAACATGTGTTTTTCTCTATAAACCTATGTACACTAATGATTATAATGCAAATCATGTTACAACCCAAATATTGAGATAGAAAATGTGGATAAATAAAAGACAGAAAAAAATCAAAAAGAAAATTCAAATCCCATTAAATTGTTTTTCAAATATCCTCAAAACTCAAATTTATAAATCTCAAAAAAATTAAACTATCACCATAAAAAACAAAAACAAAAAATCAACACCATACAAAATTGTTTCACCAACATATCTCATCATCATAAAGAAGAAGATCTTCATAATAAACAAACACAACATTTAATTAGAAAATATCTATATTTTATAACAATGATGCCATACATTAATGAAAAGTTGTTCCTCAAAAATCTCGAAGCAGTTAGAGAAAAGAGTTGGAAAAGTTAATACCACACAAACAATGTTTTACTAATATATCATCATAAAGAAGATTTTCTTCCTTATAAACAAACACAACTAAATTGGAATAATATATATATATATGTGTAACTATAATGTATGATATAAATACACCACCCCCAAAATTTAGACTTAACTTGCATTTTCTTCCAAAACAACAACTCTCATTCGTTATTATATAAATACCCTTTCTCCCTAATATACTCACTTATTTACCTTTAGTTTACATATTTTCTAACAATAATAAATAAATAAATAATCAAATTCGTATGTTTTTGTGTAAACAGTGAATTTTTCATATTCTTTTTTTATTAATTCTATCTTTCAAAAACCAAAATGGTTTTAATAGTATCGTATGTGTTCGTGGTTCTAACTATTCTTTCTACGGATCTTAGGATCTCTCAAGCCATATCCTGTGTCGCTTTTCACGAGTCATCCATTATTGATTACCACGAACAATGGATAATACAATTCTCTCGAGTTTATAGCAATGAATCCGAGAAACAGATGAGGCTTAAAGTATTCAAAAAAAACTTGCAGTTCATTGAGAACTTCAATAATAAGGCGAATCAAAGCTAGAAGCTTGGTGTCAACAAATTCACAGATTGGACCGAAGAAGAGTTCCTTGCCACCTACACCGGTCTCAATGGCATTAACTTACCATCTAAAGTGTATGATGAAACGATGCCATCTTGGAATTTGAACGTTAGTAATGTCGTGGGCGAGAGCAAAGACTGGAGAAATGAAGAAGCTGTAACACCTGTCAAAAATCAAGGACAATGTGGTAAGCTTTCCATTATTATATATTACAAACAGTCTCTAAAGATCGGGAAAAAAGTAAAAAGTTGGATTAGTAATTTAATGTCATAATAAATCTCCGCATACAAAACTTAATTCCCAAGTTAGTGTTATCATTCTAGGTTTTAGGATTGCCAATAGAAGATTCATTTCGTAACAATGAAGTAATCAATATATATATGGACAGGTAGCTATTGGGCGTTCTCAGCAATTGCAGCGGTGGAAGGTCTGACAAAGATTGTCCGAGGAAACCTCGTATCACTATCCGAACAACAGCTTTTAGATTGTGATAAAAAAGAAGAACAATGGTTGCAAGGGGGGATTACATGAATTTGCTTACAACTACATAGCAAAAAACGGAGGCATTTCTTCAGAACACGCATATCCTTACCAAGAGAAAGATGGGAGTTGCCGGCCCAACATCAAACCCGCCATGCAGATCAGAGGTGTTGGCTATGTTACAGAAAACAACGAGAGATTGCTCGAGGCTGTATCGAGACAACCTGTATCGGTGTACATTGACTGTAGCGAGGCCGGTTTCATGCATTATGCAGGGGGAGTGTACAATCCGCCTGACTGTGGGAGCACCATAAATCATGGAGTGACGTTGATTGGGTACGGAACGAGCCCGGAAGGCATTAAGTACTGGTTGGTTAAGAATTCTTGGGGTAAGATTTGGGGAGACAACGGCTTCATGAAACTCCGTAGAGATGTGGAGTGGCCTGAAGGTATGTGTGGTATAGCTCAGATGGCTTCTTATCCAATTGCGTGACTAATTGTGCTAAATGATTAATATTGAAATATGCATACATTGTGGAGTCTGATTTATACATTTATATGTTCAATGCAAAATCCAATAATACAGCTTTTTTTAGCTCAAAACCAGTGAAGAGTGTTCTCCCAAGACCTAAGTTATCATTAACTTGTTCCCCTTATGATGAACTTAGCATTTTTGAAGTTTGTTCGTTTGATTGTAGTTAAGTTCTTCATAATTTTATTCATAAAACAAAATTTTAAGATATCATGAATATAATACACATTTGCACGCATTACAAGAATCAGTTAGCTACAACTTTTGTTTTGAACACTAATTTGTAACAAAATTTTGTGACAAATATTCACACACAAATTTGCTTGAAAGTCAAATTTGTAATTAGTTGTAACTAATTTCTCACAATTTACAACAGACTTATAACTGTTTCAAATTTGTATCAAATAAATAACAACACAATTAATGTCTGTAAATAAAGATTGCAACAGATAAATTTGTAATAATTTGTATCAAAATAGCTTAGACAAAATATACAATTATAATTCCATTGTGATGTTTTCAACAACAAAAAAACAAAAAAAAATCTCTTTATAACCAAAAAACAAAAATAGCTTTCTTTCTCTATTTCTTAATTTTTTTTTTTTTATAAAAAGGGCTTTCACTCTATTTCTTATTGCCGCCTCTCTCCATCTCCGCCGCCGTCTCCTCCGACCCAGCTCTCCTTTCCCATCGCCGATCTCTGCCAGACTCCGTCTTACCGCATGTTACATTACAAAAAGAAAGCGTAATTATCCTTTGACAAAAAAAAAAATAAAAAAAAAAAAAACGACGTAATTATGCAACCAAACCAGATACAGCCATGTATTGATCTAGAAACCTTGTTCGTTCTTTCTGCTTTACCGCATGTTAGATTACACAATAGCAAACCAGTTAATTCTACAATTCTTGGTTAAAATAGCACTTTCAGCTCACAATCTGAATCTTGAGATTCTTGGGTGTAGACGTGTAGTCTACGATTTTCATTAAACCTTTAAATTATCCTAGACCCACTAAGTTATTATATATATTCTTTTCCATATAACCGGGAAATAATAGAACATGGTAGTTGCATTCGAGCTTATAAAATACAATTATCATATCCAACCGATGTATAAACTTATGTTCATATATTATTACATAATCGGCAATCGGGCGTCATGTTCAAAATTCCAATGAAAGTTACGTAACCATGCATGTGTAACAAAAAAACAATCGTAAGTCGGTAAGTTATTGATTTTATTTTGTGTTAAAATTCGTATTTGATTTGTTTCGAGATTACATATCTTATATTGTAACACGATCAAGTATATGATAAGAATCAAATCAAAGAAAAATCACAAGTAAAAGGTTTGAGAGGATAAACTGAAATTTCGTGCGGAGCATTAATGTGTGACGTGAGAGCCACATTTATACATCATATATGCAGATTAACATACAAAGTAATCTTTAACAACAACAAAAAAAGGCCGTTTAAAAAAAAAAAACATACAAAGTAATCGATGCATTAACCAACACAGACTTATTGGTATATTAATATAAAGAGCTGAAAATTCTAAGATACTATAAACTATAATGGTTGTTGCTTTATTAAAAAAAAAATCTGATAATTGTTTTCCTAATACCACTGATAAATTATTTAAAAGATTGGATGTTGCTGCAATCTTTGATCACCGCAAATAGTTGGAAGTACAAAAGTTTGACAATCAAATTTTTGTATCATAGTAGAAAAATATGAGGCAAATTTAATCAATGATTTCTCGTAATTTCCCACAAACGTAAGTATATGAACGGTTACATATATAAATAAGGTTTAGTTTATGGGGAAATTCCTCTTTATAATTTAAAAGTTGATTTTTTTCTCTATATAAAGATTCTTTATTGAATGTTTAGCAAAACTAACCTAAAGGGATAGTGAAATTACAGCCCAGTCCTTTGTGACTAAACAAAAAACGTCTGTCATAGTTACGATTTTATCCTTCGAAAAGTCTACGTAAGAAGTCTACAATCATTGTAGACTTCAAAAGAAGTCTACTACATAATTAGTTTTTTAAAAATTAATTAGAAAATATAAAATAAATAAATTTCTAAAAAATTGGTAAACATAAGTAAGACATATATATTTGACATATATAGAATACAAAATTTCATACAAATGAATCAACTTAAATGCAGAAAGAAAATTAACTAGAAAACATACAACCCCTTAGAAGTCTACTACAGAAAACATACGTATGCAGTAGACTTCTCAGGTAGACTTCTCCAGTAGACTTAAAAAAAACATAGCGGGAAATCAAAATTATTTAACAAATTGGGTGGAAATCGGAACAAATCAGGCGGGAATCGAAATCGAAAAAATATACCGAAGTAGACTTTTCGAGTAGACTTCTCCAGTAGAAGTAAACTTTATTTTTAAAAAGTTTATTTAACCAAAAATTTTCCTACATATATAAGGAGATTAACCTAATTGGGTTAAAAATAAAGTTTTTCTCTCCCTCTAAAAAACGCTTCTCTCTCTTCTACCTCCTCTCTGGCCATGAATCTCTCCTCTTTCCTCTCTTGCCATCAAACACATCTCTATCCTTCATCCTCTCTATCTCAATTATGGTGATGGTAAGCAAATCTGAGGTTTTGTGTTTCTTTTGTTGTTTGTTTTGTGTTCATATTGTAAATCTGGGTTTATTATTACATATTTGAGCTTCTTGTTGTAGATCTGAGTTTATTCTTGCAAATATGCACTTCTTATGGTATAAATTTTATAGAATTTGTTGCAGATCTGATTTTTTTGTTGTTGCAGATCTGATTTTGTTTATTTTGTTGCAGATCTGATTTTGTTTATTTTGTTGCAGATCTGAATTTTGTTTATTTTGTTGCAGATCTATAATTTTGTTTGTTGCATAGCTGATTTTTTTTTTCCCCTTTTGCTGCAGATATGATGTTTAAAAATATATCATATTTTGTTGAAATATGAATTTTAACATTTTTTTTCTTATTGTGCAGACCTGAACTTATTTATTTCTCTTTTGTTTTTGTTGGAAGCAGACTTCAGCTGCAGATTTCTCGAGTAGACTTCTCGAGCAGACTTCTCGAGCAGACTTCAGTCACATACATTTATTTCAGACATTTTGTTTTTATATGCTAATTTTAAGATTTATAATTAGTGATCCTTAAATGTTTGTTACTTTATATGTAAAGTTAGATTATAATTAATATTATTTTTATATATTCTTAAATTATGTGTGTTTTATCATATTCAGATTTCATATGCAGACTTCTTTCTCAGACTTAATCATCACCATCTTTGAACCTCTAATAACAAAGAAAAATTAATTCAATTTAACTATACAAAAACATGTAAAACTCATAACAAAAAAAAAATATGTAAAACTACTTAGAAATACCACAACTAGTCTTTCTTCACACATTCTCAATAAATAGTGGGTATGTGAACCATTCTCTATAAGAAAACAAAATTCAAACCACATTAGAAATCATTGTCGAAAAAGTAGACTGCAAACATAGTCTACTATGTAGACTTCAAATGAAGTCTGCAGACTATTAAGCTAAATACCAAATAAAAGAAGAAAAATAGTTAAAGCTAAACTGTAACAAAAACAAATTTCAAACTCATACATAAGCAAGAACAATAAATATCACACACTTAAGAGTCAAATAATAGATTTTATTTGTTACAAATATCTGATCAATTAAATTTATAAAAAAATAATGTCGCAGACTGCAAACGAAGTCTACTATGTAGACTTCAAGTGAAGTCTACAGACTAATAAGCTAAATACCAATTAGAACAAGAAAATTAATTAAAGCTAAACTATAACAAATAAACATGTCAAACTCCTATATAAGTAAGAACAATAAATAATACACACTTAAGAGTCAAAGAATAAATTTTATTTGTTACAAATATCTGGTCAATTAATTTAATAAAAAAAAATAATATCGCAGACTGCAAACGAAGTCTACGGACTAATAAGCTAAAATAAAACAAGAAACTTGATTTCACCAAATATATATATAATATAAACATGTAAAACTGATATAAATATAAGTACACTTACTAAAACAATCGTAAGACCAAAAAAATCTTAATAATTCGTTGTAAATGTGATAAAAACGCGTTTATAAAAAAAAGTGAAATTGTAGACTAACAACGAAGTTTACAAAAGTAGACTTGCAATGAAGTCTACAAATGTAGACTTCGTAAGAAGTCTATATTTTAGGTTACTTTTGCAATTGCCAAAAGATGAGTAGACTTCTTTAAAGAAGTCTACTCACTCCGAGAAGTCTACTCGAGAAGTCTACGTAAAAAAAGGTTAGTTTTGTAATTGACCAAACTTTGACTTTTTCGTAAGAAGGTAGACTTCTTCGGAGAAGTCTACTTTTAAAGTAGACTTCTTAGAGGTTAGTTTTGCAATTGACCAATGTTGACTTTTCACAGTAGACTTTGTTTGAAGTCTACTTCAAAAGTAGACTTCAAACGAAGTCTACTTGGGTTAGTTTTGGGGTTGACCAAACATTGAATTTATTTTTGAGTAGACTTTTTTTGAAGTCTACTCGGAAAGTAGACTTCAAACGAAGTCTACTCGGAAAAGTAGACTTCAAGCAAAGTCTACTCGAAAAAGTCAACATTGGTCAATTGCAAAACTAACTTCTAAGAAGTCTAAGTTCAAAGTAGACTTCTCCGAAGAAGTCTACTTTTGCGAGTAGACTTCTTACGAAAAATTCAAAGGTTGGTCAATTGCAAAACTAACCCCTTTTTATGTAGATTTCTTTTGAAGTTTACACTATTTTTTTTTGTTGTCAAAGGAAATGGCGCAGACTTCAACTGAAGTCTACTGTCAGAAATTGGTACACCCGGTCAATTGCAAAACTAACATGTGTGTTGACCAGCAGACTTCTTTTGAAGTCTACTTTCGCAGCACAGATCTGAAACTCACGAAAATTGACTGAAAAATCACCTACCAGTGGTATTTAACTTATTCAACCACCGATTTCTTTGATTCCAGCCACCACCAAACAAGTCCAAACAATTTGTCAGACCAAATCACCAAATATGGCAATATATTAGAACATCAAGTTTCAAAAATTTAGATTAGAGAGTTTTTGTGCTGAAAATAGTTAAAAAATAGAAGAGTATAAGGTTAAGAGAAGAGGAAATGAGGTTACAAAGCTAAAAAAATGGGTTTTTGAAGCAACAAAAGCTTCAAATTGGTTGAAAATGGTGGTTGAATGAATTGATGGTGATGGCATTTTTGTAAATAAGTGAGGAAGATGAAGATTGTTTGATAAAGTAGATTTCTGAAATAATAATAAAAAACAATAATCTAATGGCATTTTCGTAAATAAATAGAACTGATAAGGATATAAGTGAGATAAAGTGGTTAATTTCAAAAGTGATAAAATGAAAGGTTAGTTTAGCAATTGACTTGAATTTATAGGTCATTTTTGCAAGATTTCCTTAGTTTATTAACATTATTATTAATTTGGATAAATTTATTAAATGATAATGTTATATTTTTTATAGTTTTTGTCAACAATTTATGCTATACTTTTATAAATTCTATTCTATTATAGTTACAAGTTAATATAAGAAAGTTTCACTATAGTGTTTTTTTATCTTCTATATTAATGTAGTGCTCTGGTGTTATATGCCTTGTATACAAACTAATCCAAAAATATTATCATAAACGAAGGACCATAAAAACAGTAATTCAAAGACAAACAGGTACACATAAAATCAAATAAACGTACTTATATATTTTGAATCTTCAGATTTATAATAAGAAAAGGAGGAAGAAGAAGAAAACAAATCACATAGAAATTGGTCGATCCAAAATTAAAGTTGAAATTAAAACATAACGAAGATTAGACTTGCAACTAAACCAAAAATAGCCATTAATGCAGCAACCTTGTTCGCTCTTCCTCCATTGCCCTCACTTGTGCTAGTCTCTTTGCCATTGCTGCTGCTACTGGTACTGTTGCTGCTGCTGCTATCGTCTTCTTTCTTTTCTTCTCCTCCTTTAACACACAAAAACCAAAATCCATTAATTATTAAGAACTCACCATTCGTTTTGAAATTGCACTATGATCTCAAAAAACTCTATGGGTATACAATCTGACCAATATATATTTTGGTAATAAGTTCGTGACGTAGATGCAATTTTCTAACGTAATCACATATAACAAAAAAGTAATTATATAGCCAAATAACATGCATAATATTGTAATTTATGTATACGTACCATTACTAGTACCGTCGCAAGAGTATTTGTCAAAAACGCCACATTTGGTTGTGATTCCTGCGGAGTAAGGTCCCGTGATGTTCACAATCGCCGGGTTCGCAATGTAATTATCGCAAAGGCAAGTGACTTGCGTTGTGGTCGCGGATTTAAGATCGTTGCAGCAATCGTCCGTTGGCGTTTCTCTAACGGTTGCGAAACACTTTTCGAGGAGGTCAGGCATCACCGTGGCACATATAGGATCCATCTTTGGAAACATCGATGACTGTGGCTCAGCCAAACCCGGAACAATCGCTACCGCTAGAAATAAAACCACTGCAACCGCTGAAACTTTGTTAGTGTAAGCCATTTGATTGTCTAAAACACTAACAAAAAGCAAAACGTTTTTGTTTTTTTGGTTATGATCTCACTTTGTTTTTCGTATGTGACTTCTTAAAAGGTGCACTAACGTATATATAGGAATGTAGGAATGGAATGTACTACATTATTGATTGTTTTTTATTTTTTAATTATTTTTTTTTAAAATCGTTTGCTGTTATAAAGAAAAGATATTCTTTCATATTCTTGTTTTATATATATTACAAAGTTGACTAGCTAAAAACATGCGACTCTCTATCTCTACCCAGTACCCATGTTCCCCGCATTTTATTAGTCTTGAAGGTAAATATTTTATGTTATGACCTGTTCATGTATATGTGGAAAGAAATTAAAATAAAACTATAAACATATAAAATGGAATGTTTAGCGAAGAAATTGCTTTTTTAGCGAATAAATTGCCAAGGACAGAATGTCGTAAATCATTAGCTGGACGGTATACTGACTATTCAAAGATATGTTTTATTATCAATCAAGATCCTTATGATCATACAACTAATCAGCAATATTTATTAGCATTAAATTTATAGAAATTGCACTGTAATTTGAGATGGATCGACAGTTTATTCTAAGGGCAGTGATGTGTAAAGAAAACCACATACTAATACAATTTCAATGCGCCTTTGACATGTATGTATAATGTTGATTGTTTCATCAAATCCACTGTATTTCAAATGTATTAATTAACGAATATAATATATATTTAACTGACTGTATCAGAACGCTCTGCTGACAATATGTAATGAAATGAATTTCGGATACATATAATTGCAGTTGTTTCTAAGACGTGAGAACCATGTTAACCATTTCAAACCTACATATGTATTGCATGATAGTCAATGGGGCTGATTGGTTGACTATATAAAATGTTTCTATTTTGATTATTTTTATAAATACCTAAAAGTGGCCCTTTGGCCTCTCTTTCGTTCTTTTATATTCCACGTTGTCAAAATGGCCTCGGTGGTTTTGTAGTCCGTTACATTTTAGGAACCTTCTTCATATTTTTTGGTTGTACGCTACGCACCACCGTAACAGCTTGCATGACCCTTTTAATAAAGAGAGTCCAATAAAATAATTTTTCAGACGCACAAGACTTCAATAATCAATACGATCATTCAAAGCAAATGGTTACAGACGCAATCAACTAAATGTATTGGTTCGAGTTGTCAGATTTCAAAACAAACAAAAAGAGGAAGAACATTGATCCCCAAAAGATAACCGAAGGACAATTACATAGAATTTGGTAAGGCCCAAATTGAAATGAATTATAGAAACAGACTTGCAACCAAACCAACTAAACCCATTGATACAGCAATCTTGTTCGTTGCTCCTCCGTTGGCGTCTCCTCCTTTTGCCAAAGAAAACAAAATTCGGTTAATTATTATAACCCTTGTTTCAAATTGCACCAAGATTCTACAAAATCTATGAATGCTAATAAGTTTTAGAGATTTCTTTCATTTTTATACATTTTCTAAATTGAGTGACAAAACTGATTTTCGAAATACACAACTATTAATTCGATTAGGGTTTTATGAATCTACAGCATAACTAGTTTCTTTTCAAAGTATCAATGATTGAAACATAATATATAGTTGCATTCCTAAGTTATATGTAACCATATAACAAAAGTAAAGACGGGTGCCTAATTACGTAAAAACATGCATCACACGATTAAAACTACAAAACTCTTATAACCACAACAACATGATAGAAAGAGGGAAAATTAAAGTAAGGTACCTTTGCAGGTGAATTTGTCGGAAACGCCACATGTGGTGTGGACTACCTCGAAGAGAGCGTGCGTGAGGTTGGTGTTAGAAGGATGTGCAATCAAATTGTCGCAGAGACAAGTCACTTGCTTATTGCTGGCCGATTTGAGATCCGTGCAGCATTCTTCAGATGGCACCAAATTCCCCGATAAGTAGCAAATTTGGACTATGTCAGAGATCAGCAACGTGCACACTGGATCCAGTTTTGGCATTGACTGTGCCTCCGTCCACCGGGGAGCGATCATAACCGCTAGGAACAGTACCGTTGTTGCCGCGGAAACTTTGTTAGTGTAAGCCATTTATGATCTAACGCCGGCAAAAACAATAGTTTAATCTTCTTCTTTTTTATGACTATTATTAGCTCTCCCTTTTTTCGTATGGGACTTCTCAAAAGTACATTATCATATATAGGACTCTAGGATTAATGTATCTAATGGACTTTGTAAATTAAAACAAGTAGAGTTGTTTTTTTAATAACTACGTTCTGGCTTTGTGGAGCTGACCTTGATCCGGCGACTTTCTATATCATAGCCCAAGTCAAATCTAATAATGTGCGCGTTTAGAGTGTCAAAGAAAAGAAAGAAAACAAATTCAAACACTCAAACAATAACCAAAAACTCAAATATTCATAGTGGCCTATATTTATATGTACACATGTTCGTTAGATTTGTTGACTTTTAAAACCCCCCAAAAAGAATTGTTGACTTAGTTAAGGAAATGAAACTAAATCTCGTACGGCGTATATTGTTGTGGGATTAAGGCATTAAGCTGTTGCCTATTTTCTAAATAAATAGGCATAGCTTTCGTTACATTGTATATTAGATGTGTGCGATTGGATGGCGTTGTTGTTGAACAGTATAATATCGAACCACGCACCCACAGGTTTTATTTTAAGGTGAATGCATGGCGAAAATTTGATTGACTCTTTCTTTGGTTTGACCGTACCTTTTGAAACACAACTTAGATTGAAGCATATACGAATACTTCCTTTACTCACAAGCCCTCATGTTTTTGATTTTTTCTTCCACTTTGATTGAAGCAGATATTATATTTGTAGCTGTCATATATATATATATATATATATATAGGTTTAATATGGTTGGAAAATGTAATGTCGTGACTATTTCTATATATTTTTCAGGCTATGAATACATCAACAACCTCCTGCATTGCACCAACAGGCAACATGAAATTTGCGAAAATATAGTTTTCCACTTGCAAATAAAGCATTTTCTTGTGGACTTTCACGTTATTTGTCACTTGGTTTAATCTAGTTCTCTCCGTGTAACATATGTTTTGGCAGATGACGCTTTAACAAAGCCTTTCTTCCGCACCAAGTTCACTTTGTGTTTTAGGATCGGCTTCTCATTTTGGTCCGTCTTTGAGGGAGGAAATAAGAGTTAATTAGTTATTGTATAAACGTGTATATAACTATGTTAATTGTACTTCATACTATCTTGTAGGGTCATCTCAAAACTATTTGTACACCATCTTCAAAATTTGTATCAAAGATATATTTTAATATGGTATAATGTTTTTACAGTAATTTTTATGCCTCAATTATTTTATACTTACTTTTTAAAGAACATTTTACTCTTGAATCGGAACCATATTCGATTATTTCACTTGCGAATACTAAATAATAGTTCTACTCGTAGAGATCGCAGTCTAACTACATATACATTATATGATCTGTAACGTTCGTTTCTTTAAAACTAAAGAAAAATGCTTTTTAAAAAGGTTGATTCTGCTAAATATATTAGTTTCCAGTGGTCTGATTTATAAAAGACAAAACAAAAATTACATTGGTAGACCCAAATTTTAATGAATTAATAAGAACAGACTTGCAACCAAACCAAATAGACCCACTGATGCAGCAATCTTGTTCGTTGCTCCTCCGTTGGCGTCTCCTGGTTTGCCTAAAAAAAAAAAAAAAACAAAATCGATTCATTACCAAAAAAAAAAATACTAATTCTCGTTCCAAATTGCACTAAGAAGCTACAAAAATATATTGACTTACGATTTCGCCTTCATTTTATTGCAAACTCTAAGAAATGTTTAGAGACAAAATTGTCTGTACATTTTCCAAATTTGGAGACAAAACTGTTTTCTGACGTATGAATCAATTGTCTTTTGATTTGGCATGAGGCGCTACAAGTACTTGTACTAATTACATTGAGGTTGATCTATAACTTCGTTTAAGATTTTATATTACGGCATAATTACTTATTATCTCTTGTGAACAAGATTGCAAATTATGGTCATAATTAGTTTCTTATAATTTCTTTTCATATTATCAGCAATAAATGAAACATACGTTACATTATACTCTTAGAATTATGATAATTCTGTTCTTAACGGAGGTAATAATCTATATGCATAGGGTTCCTATTATTCTATATATAGTATAGTAACATGCATAATCATCTATATGAAACTAAAACAATCATGCGTAATCGGTGACGTTAGCATATCTCTAAATTTGTTTGCATCGAAAACATAATATAGTTCTTGTAACCACAGCAACAGAAGAAAGAAGGGGAAAGTTAAAGTATGTATACCATTACAGGCGAGTTTGTCGAGAACGCCACAAGCGGTATTGATTTGGTCGTAGAGAGCTCGGGTTATGTTGCCGTTAGAGGGATTTGCTACGAAGTTCTCGCAGAGACAATCCACTTCGGTCTTGCTCGCCGTTTTGAGATCATTGCAGCATTCTTCTGATGGCACCAAACTCACCGTTGCGTAGCAATGTTTGACGATTTCAGGGATCGCTAACGAGCAAACTGGATCCAACTTTTCAACCGTTTTTGGTTTTTTGGCCTCCGTCCACTGAGGAGCGATCATAACCGCGAGAAAGAGGATGGTCGTCGCAACCGCAGCCATTGCCGGAACTTTGATAGTGTAAGCCATGATAATAAAACAAAGGTTTAATTTATTTATTTATTTTGAATGACTATTATTAGCTCGTATCCCTTTTTCTCGTTTGTGATGTGTGACTTTTCAAAAGTACATTTATCATATATATAATAGTCTTGGATTGTCCATTATTGATATATTACCAATACCAATATATTGTTTTTCTTTTCAATGTTGACCAATTCCTGGCATTTGATTTGTTCATTAGTTCTGACTTCTGAGAATAGATTTATAAGACAACAAAACGTTTTTACAGTAACCAAAATGGTATTAGAGCATCTGTGCTTCTATCTAAAAAAAAAAAAAACTAGAGTTTAAAAGAAATTCTTTCCAATACATCTCTATTTTTGAAAATAAAACTAAAACAAGAAACAAACACCATTCTAATTTTCCTTTATCGGTCTGTTCAAATTTAACATATATTTGTTTGTGAGTTCAACTTATCGGAAATAAAATGACAAAAATAATTACAACATAAATCATTTATTTTTCGTCTATAAGAAGAAAACTCTAAATGCTAAGCATGATCAATATTTTTGTAGAAAGGCCTTAGGTTTATATATTTAATTTAGCCATTGGTCATTACTTGATAACTAAAACAACTAACAGATAGGTAATATGCCAACGAACCAGAAACTAATAATTTTATGGCGTTTTTGTCAAATTATTTAAAATACTATATACTTTCATTTTATTATTGACGAAAAAATGAATTTTAATTTGTATATTTTTGTGGGGTTGAGCTGTTGCCTCTTCTCTAAAAGAGTGGGCATGGTTTTTTTTATCACACTATAGCTTAATAAACCCCATACAAGTGATTTGATCAAAGCTTGTCCAGTTGTTTCCAGCCTCTTTTCTGACTTCTCAGAATCATTCAGTTTATTCAAGGTTGCTTGGATCACACATTGCTTTGTAAAAGCTTTCTGAAAGTTTCAATGGCAGCGTAATTTCATTTTTTGTATTAAGTCGACTAAAAAAACAGCCAACCAAATTAAGAAAAACAAAAAGATGCAAGAAAGATTCAGATAAAATAATCTTACGATCAAAGTTTGTAAACCTAACTATGCAAAGAAGTTGTGTGCCAAAAGTTTTTGAGCAAACCAACAGCAAATCAATCAGGAGGTTAAAATTACATGATCTAAAGCAAAACTGGCCAGCAATACAATTCCTTTTAAGTAAATACTCGAAATTAAAAACTCTAAATTTCAGCTTAGGAGCAAGTATGAGTTTATAACACGATCTAGTCATGGTCTCGCTTTCTTAGGGTTACCCTTCATTGACAGTATTTAGGAATCATGGAAGTGTTTGGTTTCAGCCTTTCAGGATCATGAGTGGTTGTTGCTGAGTTTAGTTCTGACGTTTGGTTAACATGCAAACAAAAAACAAAAAACAAAAAACAAAAAACAAAAACAGTAAATCAGTAAATCAGTAAAATAGAAAAACGCTAGAGGGAGGGGTCGAACCTCCGACCTTGTGGTTAACAGCCACACGCTCTAACCAACTGAGCTACTCCAGCTACTTGTTCATTGTTTCGAATAGATACTTTTAAAACATATTTGTATATACACATTAAGAATTAGTAATTTTGTATCTAAACAACGTACTGTGAAATCTCATTTTTGTATTGTTTTTCTTTTTTCAATCTACTAAATATGCAAACAGAATTTAGATCTAAACCACTTTTTATTATATCTGTTGAAATGAAGCTTGAAATAACTCATAGTCTTATTTTGATTGGAGACTTTGAAGTAAACTTAGAAAGCTAACAAATTCATTGAGACTTCATCTTAATTCTTACTTTGTATTCTTTGCTCAATCTACTAAAATATGTAACAGAGTTTAAATCTGAACCATATTATTTCCCATAATAATTGTACATTTGTTGAATTGAACCCTCGACTAACGATATCTCACCTTGAACTCCCTTGTCATTACCAGGAAAAAAGATCAATAACTTTTCTACCTATTGAAATTTCGAGACAACGATATCTCATTTTTGTCCTGGACTTTGCTCCATAAAATAACATAAACTAATCCCATGTCCCCATGTTACAGTAGAATCTTGACCTACTCATGTTGGTAAGAGATGTTTGATACGTGATGGATACCATACAAATACTTTTTTTGTGTAATTAGAAATAAAACAACAACTACATTACTAGAGTTTAACTCTCTAAGCTATATCCAGAATATATTGAGGTTCCGTCTTAAAATATATAAAATAATTATATCTTCATTACAATCCGTATATGAATAACATCATAACATATAATATTGTATTGGTAATATGTAATATTGTATAACCTAGGAAAGCTACTTGACATTTTGACTCTTGTTCTTCACAGGTGAAGTAAAAAAAAAAAGCTAAAATTTATTTATTTAATGAAGTCAAAATTAGAGAATCTTGAAAGTACGCTTCCGTCGGCAATGATCCCATGCGGCGATCCTCATCTGAACCTTCTCAAAATCCGATACACGACAAGGTATTGTAATCCGACCCGGTTGATCAAACCCGTAAACCCGTTCCGCCTGCTCCAGCAACTCTCCAAACAGAGGATGGTTAAAGTAAATCACCGGAACCACCACGCGCCGTGTATCGTCGCCGGATTCACCGACGTGAACAACTAAATGTCCCTTCGGAACAGGCTGTGGTTTCGGTTCGTTACCTAGCCGGGTCTGACCCGTTTTATTTCCTCCGCACAGTCTATTGGCTCCACGACGGAGACACCGTGCTAAAGAGCAGAGTTTTGGAACCGGGTTGAGAATTCCGGTCAGGCATTGGCGTTTCCCGGTTTGGATTCTTCTACTTCTGATTATCCATTTGAAGATCTTGACGAATCTGTGACCGATCTTGAAACCTCGGAGCCTCTTCATGGTTGTTCAGATTCCGAGAAAACAGAGACTCAGAAAACAAAATGAAACCTTTTGGAGAAACTATTACTGATTTCGCGTTTTTCAGAAATGGGTTGAAATGGAGAAGACGATTAGATCGAAAATATCGTAACTTTTTTATTCGCTATCTGTCTCTCTCTCTCTCTCTCTCTGGTTTGTGTTACAGTTCAAGATGAAGAAGAAGACTGATTTGAAATGGGAATAAAGCAAAGCAACCTCTTTTATAGCCTCTGAGGTGTGACCGTTGAACGGTAATTGTGTGTGCGTGCGTGTACATGTGCATATTTGATGTATAGTTTTCCAAATTTAACATGTCACTAATACCAAAAAAAAGTAAATAATATCGAATTATATCTTTTAGTTCATTGAAAGATTTTTATTCATTGTAACGAATGTCATCTAAGAAACAGTAGACTTTGCCTTTTTTTTTAAACAAAAAAAAACCAAAAAAATAAATAAATTCTTCCTATCACGAGAAATTTATGGTTATCGATTCTTCATTTGATGTTTATGCACGAGGCTACTTTCGGTTAAGACCAAACTCTTAATTCAAGAATATTTTGTCAAATGGTTGAATAAATAAAAATGCTATTCACGATTATATTATAATGTGAGAACAAAACTTGACATTACGACGTTGGAAAACCAAAACATAAGAGAGAGAGGTTCTGAACCGAATTTTCTACAACCCGGTGCTGGTTAGTACTCAAGTAGCATAATAAATAACCGGTTAAGCTTATGCTTTTGGCCGTAACCAGACCTTTTTGTATGGTGTCTATCATTTGTGAAAAGTCATATCGTATTAGCGATTCAAGGTCAATCTCAATTAATGCGCAAAGCCTTTTCAAAGTCAATCTCAAGTATTGTACGGTAATATGCAATTTAAGAAGTTTCGGTGTAGTAGTGTATATCTTCTTTTGTCACAACTGAGAAGTTACATTGTACAAAACTCTAGAAGTTCATTGCATCAGCATGGTGTCAGTAGTTCGATGTATGGTTTAGATGATTATATAATTGTTGACAAAAAAAAAAAAAAAAAAGATGATTATATAATTTTTTTACTCCTTTTATTACACTTAAGAGGTCAAAAGAATCTTCGTCTTTTTCTCAGATAGTCGAGTACTCCTATTATCTCATTTGAAATAGAGTGAATTTATTGAAATATTGGGTTAGTATCGAAAGTAAATTACATGTTTTATATGTTCACTTGTTCTTAAACACAATGATAAATTGATAATATAGACACTAGCTAGTCAAAAATTTATGCTTACGCAAGTGAGTAAAAACACGTTGCTGTATTAATTGCACCTAGAGAACCCGATTTGAGTTTATTGTTATAATACTCATTTAATCATTTAAAAGTTCAGTATGTCGTTTAGTGTACATGCACATATGGGTGTGTCTATCAGTCTATGTATATGGACTAATAAAATCGTCGTCCAAGTTTGGTTTTGAAAAGAGAAGTAGAGAACTCGATCTATTAAAAAATAAAGGATAACTTAAACGGCCATGTTTAAAGATATAGCCCAGATATGGAGAATAAACAAAAACCTTCTATACAGATATTTTATTTTAGAAAGATAAATATTATGAAAATTTTATTAAATAAAACGGAGAATGAATTAGTAGAAGACAAAAGCCAAGCATGTGTGTAGGAGAGACATGGAGTAGGGATTTGGTCGGCGGTCGGCACGGCGCGAGCGATCTGCGTAGAATGCTACGGTTCACAGAAAGTGCTCCCTTTCCTTTTCTCTTCAAAATCATAAAATTTTAACCATATATTGATATATATAAGACATGTTTTTGTTACCGGTCTGATGTTTTTATTCGGCTATTTCGTTTCAAAAAGTCTTTTTACAAAAGTTTAGATTATACTGTCATTAGAATATGTGTGTTTCAATTATATTCTTCGTAAATTCTTTTAGTTTTTGATTTGATTATTTGATAATTCCATTTTAAAAAACAATTGTTATTTAAAAAGTTTAGCTATCATTAGTTATGTAATTCTTAGCACTTTTAGTCATATATACACACAAACATATTATGTACATTCATTTTTTTTAAAAGTTGTTATTAAACAAACACCATTCTGTTTGATGGATTTGCTGGATATATAAACTCAAATCCAATGTATTACAAAATGTTGGCTTCATCGAAGGGAAGGATGGAAAGTAACAAAACTTTATGTACTTCTGTGTACCTAATTTTGAAGCATTCGGTACAAGATATCCGTGATGCATTGGTTCTTCTTAGCTTATGAAAATTTCCTTGAACTTCCAACCTCCAAATCCAGTTTTGTAAAATATACTATATTTATGACATATAGCTAACGTGGATAAGCTGGTTTTTTATTATTTCTTCTTTTGGATTATCATAGTTGAGTTGTTACAGTATTTTTAAAGTTGAAAAGTCTCGGAGATTATGAAGTAATGCATGCGATTTGTTTTGCAAGTTTTTCCTAAACTTAATGATTACTGTATATGTGTATTGAATTTCAATTTTTTTTCTAACGTGACGTATTGTCGTGTAATCGAATATATTCATACAGTATATCGATCATATATGAATATTTAGACAACAAAAAAATCCCACCCAAATAGCAAAAGATTCTACATAAATATACACTTAGCATTTTATCCACCAACAAAAGGAATAAAGATCTGAGGATATAACCAAATAATCCAGGAGGAATACATATGTAGAACACTAATTCGAAAAAGGCAAAAAGCTTCACATGATATGTAATAATTTCACGCCTTCAAATAACACACATTTGCATCTTCTTTTTATGATAACTAGGTATTTACCCGCGTTACGCTGCGGAATATTTTTTTAGATTTATATATATTTTTAATATAATAAAATTATTTATATATTTTAAATAAGTATTATATTTATTTTTAGTAGCTTAAGTTATGTATTTATATGTTTTGAATCTGAATAAATATTATATATCATTAAGTTTTTTATTTTTTAAAATTATAATCTATTATCAATTTTATTTAGCTAACTATCTATAAATGTATATGTAAGAATAAAACAATATATTTTTAAGTACTTTCAAGCTAATGGTATATGTAATTTATTTTCTCTACTAAATTATTACTTGATCCTCCTTTGAACTTATATAAAGCAAATTGCTATTTAAAAAAATATTAATTAATATGATTAATTTAAATTATAAAATTTATTTATTTATCAAATATTTATTATAGACATATGTTTCTAAAACTACCAAACTATAATCAATAATATTCATATCAAAATCATTACTATTACTTTAGAACTAAATAGAAAATTATATTTGAACTGTTGAAATATCAATTTAGTTGAAGTTAAATAATTTAATTTTGGTTACTATAAACATATTATAACTTGAAAATTTAGCACAGATAAATTTTATCTTTTTACAAAAATCGAGAAATTGCATTTTCCGACAAAACAAAAAAAAATTATTTCCCACGAAACTGAGAAATCGCATATTCCCGCCAAAACCAAAAAAAAATCATTTTCTCGTCAAACCTGAAATTTCATTTTCCTACCAAAACAAAGAAATTGCATTTTCTCTCAAAAACCAAAAAATCACATTTTCTCGCGAGAACCTGTGTTTTTCCGTCAAAACAGAGAAATCAAGTTTTTTAACCAAAACCAAAAAATTTCATCTTCCTGCAAAAACAAAAAATAGTATTTTTCCTTCAAAACCAAAAAAAAATTTTCCCGCAAAAATCGAGAAATCGTCTATTCCGACAAAAACAAGAAAAAAAAAATTTTCTTGTCAAATCAAGAATCACACCTTCCTACCAAAACCGATAAACTACAATTTTCCGCAAAAACCAAAAATTGCATTATCTCCTGACAAATTGCGTTTCCCACAAAAACTAAGAAATCATATTTTTCCCCGAAAACCAAAAAATCAAATTATATGTCAAAAACTGAAAATTTGCATTTCCCATCAAAACTAAGAAATTTTTTATTCCCGCCAAAATCGAGAAATTTTGTTTTTCTATCAACTCGAGAAATTACATTTTTTGCCAAAATTGTCAAATTACAATTTTCCGCAAAAATCAAGAAATTACATTATCCATCAAAAGCCGGAAATTTTCATTTTCTATCAAAACCGAGAAATTGTATTTTTTGTCAAAATTGAAAAGTTGCATTTCCCTCGCATTTTCTCGTCAACATCAATTTTTTTATTTTTCACTAAAACCAAAAATTCAAATTTTGCCACCAAACCCGAGAATTCGTTTTTTTCCGCCATAACCGAGAAACTATGTTTTCCTACCAAAACTAAAAATCTCATTTTTCTACCAAAACCAAAAAATTATCTATTTTCGCCAAACCCAATAAAATTTGTTCTCGGTAACCAGTGGAAATACGAATCTTCAAGTTGTGGTGGTCTGATTTCTCCTCATTTGCTTTCGCCTTCCATTTTTTTGTAAACTTTGGGCTTTTTAATGAGTCAGCAAAATAGTAAATTGATTTTATTAATGTGTTAATAATATGTATTATTGTTATGTTTTTATTGGTTCAAATTTTTGCTGATGTGTGAGCTTCTTATAACATAACACTTTTTGCATTGTTGTTATGGAAGCATAGTTGATGATGAGTCTACACTTTCTTTAATCATATACATCTCTATCAAGCAAACACATAGTTAGAAATTTTAATTTTTTTTGCTGTTATTCATTATTTGAGTTTCGGTTTGGCAAAAATATAAAACAAAGATTTAATTTTATTATTTGTTGTTATTTGTTATTTGGGTTTGTTAAAAAATAAAACAAAATTTTTTTTATTTGCTGTTATTTATTATTTGGGCTTGGGCTTGACCAAAAAATAAAACTAAAATTAACAAAAAAAAATATTTGAGTTTTTAATGGGTTTAAATTTAAAAGTTAAACTAAATTGATGACTTGTATTAATGAAATATTTTTATTGATGTTTTTTTGCTGAAGTGTCATCTCCTAAAGCTTGAAAATGCTGATAGGTCAAGCCATAGAGAGACTTATAGGTTATTGTTGTGTTGATTACGAGTTCTTAATGACAACATGACTTGATTATTTGTAAACCAAATACATATCATTTCAACTAATTAGTTACGTTAACAACTTAATACTAATAAATAGACCACATGAATCCTCCCGAGCTGACCATTGCACAAAAAAAAGTTATGGCAGTTTTCTATAAAAAATTGATGTATTATTTTAGATTTAATTTCTTCTAATGATGCATATAGATTCTCAAAAAAAAATCGACATTAAATTTCAAACGGAAGCAAAAATACAATCGCTTTAACATTTAGTTATCCATTTTAAGACAAAAAACCAACAATCGTAAGATGTTTTACAAATAAAGTTTCATATACTGTATTTGGTATCACTTTCGAAATCTGATTCTGGATATTGTGCTCTTGATCTTCAGATGCGGCAGCAGTACTGTGACTGTTGAACGATATGTACAAGACAAAAACTACGAACAGCGAACGACTATAAGGTAAGTAAAGCGTCAGATATGTTTGGGGACAAGAAGACAATATGATCAAATAAAAATAAAAGTCGATAAGCGATTCTTTTATATTTGTTAACTTGTTGTTAATCCACCAATCACGGATCTTAATGTTTTGCTGCTAAATCTATAACCATGTTCCTTATCCTCTTGACCTTTTCTGAATTCAATTATTCAATTATATAATCACTACAATAGTACAATCCAACACCAAACTATACTATTCGTAAGATTCGTTTATGCCGTATGTTTAGTTTCATGATCTCTAAAATTTTGTTCGAAATATCAAATTTACTTGATTTCAGAAATTGAATAATGATAATACAACTATTCTTTTACAAAATAAACGTCCAACATATGTTGATGTATGAGATGGTTTCACATTTGTTTACTATCCATAATATTTTCTCAAATGCGTTTTTTCTCTTACTAAAAATGTGCATACTATTTAGCAAATACGCAGTATTTGGAGGAACCCTATCTCACAACTTTCCAAATAAAATACCGATTTGTATGTAAATAGCTTTTGCGGGAGCCTAAAAGGCTTAAAAGGAACAAACCAGTAATGGGTTCAATAAAAAGCCCATTAAGAGTTTGTCTACATGGAATTCTACTTCCCAGTTAACATTTTGTTCAGTTTGGCTTGGTAGAGACTTCGGTCATTGATTTTTTCTTTGTTTACAAACTGTATTTTTGATTTGGATTTCATTTCGTATTTTTTATACTGTCTAGTTTGGTTCTGGTAGGGTTTTATCTTGCAAGATGTATGAACTAGTGAAACAACTATTCGGTTAAAAATGATTGAGACTCTCTGTACCGATCATAGTAGAACTCAAGCTTGCATTGAAAAGTGAAGAAAACCTTGATGATCTTTTTAATCTCTCAACCGATTAAAAGCCCATTGGGTTCAAACTGGTATAGTGGTGGTAATTGAACCGAACTGAATTGAATATGTGAAATTTGGTTTAGTTTCAACTAAACCGAAAACACCGATCAGTTAGTTAATCGCCTTCCCTCCAAATTCAGAGCGGCCTTATTAAAACAGAAAAACCCTCAAGAAATCCTCAGGAATCAATCAATCAAATCCATTGTCGTCTCTTCTTTTCCATTTCTCCGAGAAAATGCCTTTCTCTCTCTTCTCCCGCAAGAAACCCACTCGCCGATTCAATGGCTTCTACGCCGACTGGTCCAAAACCCTATCGGAAAACTGCCTCCCTCTCCTCCGCCAATCTCTTTCCTCCGCCGCTTCCGCTTCCGTCCTCTCCTCCAACGTGGATCTCGTCCTCCGCCATCTCGTCCTGTACTACGAAACCCTAGATCTCGCCGCCGATCCTAACACCATCGCTTACCTCCTCTTCCCCTCGTGGCGCAACTCGCTCGAGACGCCGTTCCTCTTCATCGGCGATATCCATCCTTACCTCCTCACCAACCTCCTCCGATCCTTCATCGATAGAGAGAATCGAGATTCCGACGACGACGAAGATTCCCTCCGCCTGATTCCGGATCTGGTGAATCAGCCGCTGAAGATCGCGACCGCGTGGAAAGATCCATCGGACGAGCTGATGACGAGGATCGATCAGATCGAGTGCACGATGAGGCTTATGGTCCCTGTTCTAATGGATCGGATGAGGAAAACGCAGAGAGGCTTCGTGTCTCGGGTCTCTGAGAATTGGATCTCGTCGTATCAAGCGGGAAAGAAGAAGAAGACGGTCGCGGCGGTTGCAGCTTCGGCGGCTTCGGTGGATGAGGAGGCGAAAGTGGAGATGGAGGAGCTTGTGAGTATCTTCGTTGATGCGAATCGACTGAGGAAGAGTGTGATCATGGACATTGTTGGAGCTACGAGCGAGCATCAAGCTGCTTTGTTTCTTGAAGGTTTATGCCAGTTTCTCGTTGGGTTTAAAGATCAGGTTCTTCTCCAAGATTTCGAGGTCGTTGCATTGCCTAATTAAAAAAAACTCTGTTTCTCCATGGTTGAATCAAGATTTGATCAGCAAGATGAGTGATTTGTTGTAGAAATTCTTTGCAAAATTTGTAAATTTCTTTTGGATTTTGACCGGTTATGTTACAGATTCCGTGCTATTAGAGATATTCAAAGCCGGTTATCATCCGGTTTAGGATGTAAATGTTGTGATTTGTACAGATGATATGGCCTGGTTTTGTTGGTTTTTCAGTTTTCACATAAATAGTGAGTGTTACATTTTTTCAACGAGGCCTATCCAGCAACTATATAACATTACGATTCTTATAACTAGAGTGTTACTTTGATGCTCAAAGAGTGTCTTGTTCATTTTCGGTTCGAATTCGTTTGAAAGATATTTAAAGGAATTAATTTTTCAACCGATTTCTTTAGTTTTTGTTTTGTTTACATATACAAAGTATTTACCCGCGCTACGCTACAGATATTTTTCTAAATTTTGTATATATTTTTAATATAATAAAATTATTTTTATAATATAAATGAGTATTTTTTATTTTTTTATTAGCTTAAGTTATATATTTATATATTTTAAATCTGAATAAACATTGTATATCCTTAATTTTTTTACTTCTTAAAATTATAAATAACTATTAAATTTGTTTAGCTAACTAACTATAAATGTATATACAAAAATAAAACAATATATTTTAAATACTTTTATGTTAATGGTAAATATAATATATTTTCTCCACTAAATTGCTACTTGATCCTCCGTTGTAATTATGTAAAGCAAAATGCCATTGGAAAAAAGATTTATTAATTAATATGATTATTTTGAAGTACAAATTTATTTATTTACCAAATATTTATTATAAACATATGTTTCTAAACCACCAAACTATAATCAATAACATTCATATTAAAATCATTGTTGTTGCTTTCGAACCAAACAGAAAATTCTATTTAAACTCTTAAACTTTCGATTTAGTTGAAATTAAATAATTAAATTTTGGTTACTGTAAACATATTGTAACTTGAAATTTTAGTAAAGAGAAATTTCATCTTCTTACAAAAACCGAGAAATCGCATCTCCCGTCAAAACCAAAAAAACCATATATTCTTACGAAAACTGAAAAATCACATATTCCCGCCAAAACCAAAAAAAATTATTTTATTGTCAAACATAAAATTTTATTTTCCCACCAAAACAGAGAAATCGTATTTTTCGCAAAAACCAAGAAACCAAATTTTCCCGCAAGAGAGACTATGTGTTTTCCGCCAAAACCGAAAAATTTCATCTTCCTACAGAAACCCAACAATCGTATTTTCCCGTCAAAACCGAAAAGTACATTTTCCCGCGGAAACCAAAAAATCGTCTATTCCCACCAAAACCCAAATAATTTATTCTCTCGTCAATCCAAAAACTACGATTTCCGACCAAAACCGATAAACTATAATTTCTCGCGAAAACCAAAACTTAAATTATCTCCTGAGGAATTTTTGTTTCCACGAAAACAAAAAAAACCTCATTATTTGTCAAAAAAAACTGAAAATGTACATTTCCCATCAAAACCGAGAAATTGCCAAACTAAGAAAACTCATTTTTCCGCGAAAACCAAGAAATCATATTATCCATCAAAAGTCGAAAATTTGAGTTTCCTATCAAAACAGAGAAATCACATTTTTAGTCAAAATTGAAAAGTTGCATTTCCCATCACAACCGAAAATCACATTTTCCCGTCAAAATTAAGATATTTTGTTTTATCGTCAAAATCAATTTTTTTTTGTTTTCTTACCAAAACTGAAAATTCACATTTTCACGCCAAACCCGAGAATTCGCTTTTCTCACCATAACCGCAAATTACGTTTTCTTACCAAAACTGAAAATCACATTTTTCTATCGAAACCAAGAAATCTCCTATTTTCGCCAAACTGAGAAATTCCCTATTCCAGCCAAAGCCAAGAAATATTATTTTCTCGTCAAACCGAGATATCGTATTTTTCTAACAAAACTGAGAAATTACATTTTTCCGCCAAAATCATCAAATTGTATTTTCTCAAAAAAAAATATGAAATTGTATTTTCCTGCGAAAAGTCAGCCAAAAGTTGAACTATATTAGGATAATAATTTGGGAATCTTTCTACCTAAAAAGAAAGCAAAATAATTATCAAACTTAAAACTAAAAGATTGTTTTCTGAGAAAGTAAACTAAAAAATTGCTAGTAATATCTTGTTGTTTATCTATATTTCTTTAAAAAAAAGAACGCATAAATCTGATGCAGCACGCAGAGTAATAAAATAAGATTGAAAAGACCTAATATTTAATGATAATTTGAAGGAAAAAAGAGAGAAATTTTGTTTTGTTTTAAATAATTATTTATATTAAAGGATCTTATGGGCTTTCAAATATAATGGGTTTTATTTAGTTGTTAATCTTGGATAAATTTTTTGACCCAAATGAATTGAAAGTTTTTTTTAAATGAGCTGTATTAATAAAATGTTCTTATTGGTTGATTTTTTTGCCAAGATGTCATGTTGAGAAAGCCTGAAAAAGTTTAGGGGTCATCACTTGAGAGACTTATGGGTTATTGTTGTGTTTGATTCGGTTTGGTTTCCAGATTGATTGGCTTTCAAATTGCTGAACCAGGTTTTTTCATATGGGCTTTATAAATGGTATAGAAACATTATTAAGGCCCAAGGCCTACAACTTTGTAGTCTTGTGTACCTATCTTTTTATGCCCAATTGATTAAGACAATGATATAGATGGACAAGGCATCGTGAGAGAATATGAAAAAAAATATTAGAAAGAGGAATGGAGAATCAAGGGTCAAAATAAAAAATCATAATAGTTTGAACTTTGAAGTCGATTTGAATAGTTCATCTTAAACGTGTCGTACAATAAAACTAGCTAGAGTTAGGTTTGTTTTTGTTTATTTATAAACAGTTTGATTATTTTGAACTAATTTGACGTTTACATGGTTTCAAACGCTAAAAATGCGGGCAACTAAGAATCTTCAACAGCTATATAATTTGATAATAACGTCGGCGTCGACCATCTAACTCTTAAGTAATCTCCGTAGGATCAAACGAGGAGGGAGTTAATTAATCAAATGGGTTGTTGTATATAGACTGATCGAGAGATTTCAACTGTTTTGAAATTATCAAATGCTCATGCAAAACAAACGAGGGAGTTAATTACATATTATTGGGTGTAATGTATAGACTGATAGATATATTTCAACCGTTTTGAAATTATCAAATGCTCATGCATTTTATAATAATATACTTATGGCCTGGCCAAACTGGTCGTATATTATATAAGATACATAACTTATTCTCGAGGATTAGTTGTATCTCTATTAGTGCTTATCACTTCTTCCCATTTCTTTAACGAGCAATATGATTCAAAAGTTGTTACCTGGCATGTTATATAAATGATCATTTGTTCATTTGTTTATGGTTAGATCCAATATAATATTTGTAATGTTGTTCACATGAAATTATATTATTTCTTCGGTGGATTAATGATGAATCATTTTTTTCTAGCTATGACTATTAATCAACGATTTAAAGAAAGAAATAAGAAAGCAAAAACTCAATAAAAAGTCACGTAGCATGTGTATTAATATGTAAATATGAGTTGTTTCTATCGGTTAACTAGTAAGTGATTCGTGAATAAAGGATCTTGTCATTAAAGTTCATGTCATTCAATCAAATTAGTTTGTTATGATGAAGTATGATCTTAGGTGGTGACAAACTTCATAACTATTATGAATTTATGAGGCATATATAACAATATAACATATATACGTTGTGATATTACATACGTTATGGTAGATATTATGCATAAATTTCCACGAAACTACGATGATTGTTTTTAGTAGATTTTTAAATTGTAATTAGTCATCTTGCATATAACTACGTACATAAGAAATAATCATTTTCACTAACAGATTTTTCAAACGATTTATGACGGTATGAGATGGATTAAACATTTAAGTTTTAGTTTAAAAATTCGTCACGTATTTTTTAGTAGCCTTTTCATGGAATGCAATTTCTGATAATGAACAATATTTAAATTTGGGGCATTATATATACGTACCTTGTATGCTTGGAACGTACGTATATGTATTTCGTGAGGATACGTGGAGACACATACGCAGATGACTTATATGTTATCATATGTAATGTTGTCCTATATCATTGTCACTTTGTTAACATGTGTACTTTGACTAATTTAGCTTAATAGTTAGTGGTCGGCACACATGATTTATTTTCATTATTGATACAACAGTTTCTTTATGATTTGCCAAACCAAGTTGCAGCAATGCCAACAAAGAAAAAACGTTACAACAGGCTGTTTTCTCTGTATAAAGTATAAACAATAATAATAATAATAATATTGCAAAGACTATGATTTGTCATTTCACATTAGTTCGTCGTCGGTTTACATTGCAATATCGGAAGGATTAAGAGGATCTGATTTTAAAATAAAACGAAAATGCTATGTACTGTGTTATATGAATATCCAGGTACATTGAATCTTGACATATATAGTAACGACACAAACTGAATGTATAAATTATGCATTCGCACGTAACTTTCGATATATTCTTACAAAATTCAGTTTATTTGATTTAAAAATTTGTCTAAAGAGAAATTCGAGAAGGTAATAGATTCATCGACCTGTCAAATGTACACAAATGTTCTTCATTGGAACATTCGAAAAAAAAAAACATAAGTATTAGTTGTGTCATCATGGCGTCAGCGTGTAGTTGTGACTCGTCAATCGTCATAGGTGCAGCGTAGGATACACGTGGCGAACCTTCCAAAGCTGTTGCAAGACAAAACGAAAAATCTAGCTGTTTTCCTTATTTTTTAATTTTCAATTATTTTTGACCTTTCCTTTTTCATTTATTTCAGCATAAATCCAAAACCACTACCTCTTCACTCCATACTGTTATTTCTGTTTATATCAGTTCATATATGAATAATTTCTTTCTTAATATGTTCTCCTACACCATGAAAAATATGATTAATTATTTCAAATTGATTATATTGAAAATATTAAACGTGTTTTTTTGCTAACTCCACCACCAATAAAGTTAAGTGACCACGGAGAACAAATCCCAGCCGTTTATTCAGTACAGGGACCCACTAACACCTCAAACTTTGATTGGTCATTTAATTATGAGTTATATATTATGGGTCCCGTGATTCTAACTCTTTATCAACTAACACCGTTAAGTAATCGTTAACTTTTAAATAAACCCAATTTATTCTCACTGAAGTTACAAATTTAACCTCACCATTTTAGACATTCACGTCATTCCGAATTTTCATACTTTTCAATAGAATTTATAAAATGTGTTGTGTAACTTTCTATCTGAATTTGGTTGAGTGCCTAAATAATTGGCGAACGTTGTAAACAAAGGCATAATGATAAACTATGATAATCAGATAGATGTGCCTGAAAAAGACATCGGAACTAGAAAAGCCAGTTCCTTTTTGGGCCCATTACGGCCCAAGTAACACGTGGTTACGTCACCATTTCAAATGCAACACGTGGTGCCTACGCTTTTTTCATCTCTCTTGACTCGTATCCACGTGTCCGTTCAGAAACCACCTCGTTTTTGGGTAACAAATAACGTCCGCCTTACGGCTAGTTAGCTTTCTAGATTTTGTTTTTGTTTTTTTTTTTTCTCAATTTATTGTAGAAGAAGTAGTAACTCTATTTTAGTCAACACGGTTTGTTAAATTATTTTTGACCACCTCCATAAATGTTTCTCCGAAATATATTTCTATAACAAAAAAAAGTGGAATATACCAAAATATGAAAAACGTAAATGCATTGCAAAACCATATACTAAAACATTCTTTAGGTTTGATTTGAGAAGCATTGAACAAATCAAAGATTCCACCACCCCTAAAAAATAAAGTTGAATGTAGAAACAAACGAATCTGACTAATGACGAAACTCATTAAACATATAGTTTTAAATTTAATTTAGGGAAGTTAATAAGAAACTTAACGTGGTCTTGGTCGTCCAAAGAAGTAATATTAAAAAGAGGCGATGGCAAATTGGAAAATAAGTCAAACATTGGCGGTGTTTTCGATATTTAACAACAGCCTAAGATCCTTGTTAACCACGTCTCTCTCTCTCTTGTCTCTTTGAGAAACAGACTTTTTTTTTTTTGGTTTGGGAAAAGAGAAACGGACTCTATAAATACGAAAGCCCATCTCCTTCATTTTCTCCCTTCCCCTCCTTCGTCTCCTCCTAAAATTTTGGATTTTTCGTATCCTCTCTCAAAATTATAGGGTTTTCGAAAAAGGAAACTTTAAAAAATCCCTAATCTCTCTCTCTCTCTCTCTCTCTCTCTCTCTCTCTCTCTCTCTCTCTTACTGATTTCTCCTTTCGCGATCCCTAACGCGATCCCTAAGGTTCCGTTTTCGAAAGGAGAAAATCTGCATTCCTCGACGAGATTCTGTTTTTTTTTTTTTTTTCGGGCTGCTCAGTGTATACAGCTCGTTTGAATCAGGTTCGAAAATCTAAATCAACGCTTTTTATGCTCCACTTGTATTGTATAGCGTTTGATTTTACACCTTTTTGTTTCCTTCAGATTTAGGTTTATTGTTGAGATTTATAGATCTCCTTCGTTTTTTTTGTTTTACGTCTTTAAAATGAGTTTTTATTTTTGTTGATTTGGACAATTTCGCCTTTTTTTCTGTCTTAACTGATTATTGCTCCTTCTGTGTTTGAATTTGGCTCTGTTCTTTCGTACCTTACAACATTGGATTCTGCACAAAAATAAAACGTTTATGGAGTTCGATGTATTGGGACTGAAACACGATTCACTTCGTAAAAAATTGAATTCTGAGTCCAAAAAGTTAATGTCTTTCTGTGAATACTTGTTTATCTGTGTTAATAGAAATATTGAAAGTTGAGACTTGTTTGACATGTTTGGGCCATTTCGAGTGATGAAGCTATAAGTTTTTGTCGGTAGCATTATTAATATTAGTATTGGCTTTGTCATTATAGAAAAAAGGCAGTTGAAAACTTCGGTACTTGTCAAAATCAGTGGCTCCTTTTCTCAAATAACATTAAACAACAATTAAGATGATTAGGTGAAAAAACAAGAGGCAAGAGTTTTTAAAAAAAAACACATGACTTTCGTGATGACTTTGTAATGTTCTGCTTTACTGCGTTTAAGAACATGAAAAAGTTACCTTTTTTTTTATTGATCGAAAAACCTTTTTTCATTGTCTTGTTACGTTTATTCAGGTTTGTCGTTGAAGCTTAAGATCTGGTTAAAGCGTTTGTGGATTTGAAGATTTAGATATGATAAGGTAACGTCAAGAGAAAAAGCTTTAAACTTTTTGGTTTTGTGGTCATGTTCAGTTTTTAATAGACATACTTTTGATATTCTTACTGTTACTGAAAACTGAAAGCTTTTTTTTTTTTGTGGTCAACTTCAGTGTTCAGGGTACCTACTTTTAATGGACATTTCAACAAGCAGTGACAAGAAAACATTGAAGAAGTGGTTTTTCATTGACAAAAGAGTTGGATAAAAAAAAAAACAGTGTTTTTAGAAGAAGCCATCGAATTTCTTGTTTGAAGCAATTTTCTTTTTGTTTGGAGTTCGATGGATTTAAATATAAACAAGACATCCCCTGTTATTACTGACCCTGCACCAGTCAACAAATCAAGACTCGGATCATCTTTCCCTTCAGGAAGATTCATGATGAACTCGAGGAAGAAGATCCCTAAGCTCGACGATGTTAGATCCAACGGCTGGTTGGACGCGATGATCTCTTCGTCCCCACCGCGTAAAAGGCTAGTCAAGGATTTCAATATTGAGATTGCTCCTGAAGATGATTTTGCTCAACGAGCCTGGATGGTAAAACATAATAATATCTCATGCCTTTCATTCACAAATGGTCTGAATCTTTCTCTATTGTTTTCTCGAGTCCTCACCACTTTCCTTCTTTAAAATGGACAGCTCAAGTATCCATCAGCGATTACCTCGTTCGCGCATATTGCAGCTCAAGCAAAGGACAAGAAGATAGCTGTGTTTCTTGATTACGACGGAACACTTTCCCCAATTGTCGATGACCCTGATCGTGCCATCATGTCTGATGCGGTAAGAACAAAAACAAAAACCTTTTTCTTTTGGACATGTCAATTATGCTCTCTGGTCTGTAACGCAAAAAACTAAGTTTGTTTCACTCTGTCTCTCTCAGATGCGTGCTGCTGTTAAAGACGTGGCCAAGTACTTCCCAACAGCAATAATTAGTGGTAGAAGCCGTGACAAGGTGAAACTTTTTAGACCAATCTATTAAAACTGTATCAGCACAATCCAACCAAAATATTAAAACACTAACACAGTTTGAGTTTTGCTCATGTGTCCAGGTTTACGAATTGGTAGGACTAACCGAACTCTATTACGCGGGAAGTCATGGTATGGACATAATGACTCCTGTGAATCTAAACGGGTCTCCTGAAGATCCCAACTGTATTAAATCCACTGACCAACAGGTGAAAAATCATTACCTCATTTCAGTTTTTCACTTGCATATAACATATGATCAAGCTATTCCTAATCTGTTTATTCTTATTCTTTTTTTGTTGTATTTAGGGTGAAGAGGTAAATCTCTTTCAGCCTGCAAAAGAGTTCATACCTGTCATCGAAGAGGTTTATAGAACCCTCGTCGAGCTAACTAAATGCATCAAAGGTGCAAAAGTAGAGAACCACAAGTTCTGCGCCTCTGTGCATTACCGTAACGTTGACGAGAAGGACTGGCCGATCGTTGCTCAACGCGTCCATGACCACCTGAAGCAGTACCCTCGTCTGCGTCTAACTCACGGGAGAAAGGTACTTGCTTTGAGTGGATTAATAGCATTCACATTCGAATCCACAACAAGCCCTTGAACTTGTTTTGTTGATATGGAACAGGTTTTAGAGGTTCGTCCTGTGATTGAGTGGAACAAAGGAAAAGCAGTCGAGTTTCTCTTGGAGTCTCTTGGGTTAAGCAACAACGATGATTTCCTCCCAATCTTTATCGGTGATGACAAAACTGATGAAGATGCGTTCAAGGTACTGAAAGAAGGGAACAGAGGATTTGGGATATTGGTGTCGTCTGTACCAAAAGAAAGCAATGCGTTCTACTCTCTTAGAGACCCCTCTGAGGTAAAGTTTTTGACAACAGTATAGTCTAAATCATCATACATGTTATATTGTTATGTTATATGTGTGATGTTGGTTGGTAATTGACTAACTTAATGGTGTTGTTGTTGCAGGTGAAGAAGTTTCTCAAGACTTTGGTGAAATGGGGAAAGATGGAAAACTCATGATTGTGTAGGAGAAAATCACAAGAGCTTCACTCAAAGCTGCTGCTTTCTATTTTTTTTTTCCCTTTGTAGTTTCTTTTCTTTAACAGAATCTGCTTCTACATCTTAATTTATCATTTTTCCATATTATCCATAAATTAAATTGTATTAAAAAATCAAAAACTTCTCCATTGTTCCATTTCATAATTTTCTGAAGGGAATTACCCTGTTCTCATAATTTCTGAGTTGAATTATATATCATTTTGTGCGTGTTTGTGAACTGAGACTCAGAGAGTGAGAGAGAAAAACTGCTGGAAATGAGGAAGAACCTGTTTATAAAATGGTAATCTGAATTGAAATTTCAACTGAAGAAAACTCTTTACAAAAGAGACTCATGATCTCACTCAACTGAAATGCTAAAGAAAACTAGATCCTTGACAGAAACAAAAGACTCTTTACACTCTTTTTAGTATCAAACCCCTTAGAAAAAACTGAGAAAGCTCACTCTTTTAGTATATCAGTCCCTGAGAAAAACCTGAAAGGTCACTAGACTCACTACTTTTTTGGTTATTAATCCCAAGAGAAAGAAGAAAAGTTTTTGGTAGAGAGTGGCATTCCAACTGCAGGACCAGTTCTCAAACGCTCGTAACAAAAAAGCTCGTCGTTCATATCCACCATAGCTCGGTTTTTTTCATCTTCATCAGAGAAGCTAACAAAACCATATCCTGCGCAAGCTTCTGTGCCATCGTGAACCTTGACTGTTGCAGCCCTCACCGATTGATAACGTGCTCTGAACGTCTCTCCTAGAACCCTTGCCGTAACGCCGCGGCTCAGACGCCCGACGTACATAGCGTATTCCGCTCTATGCAAAACGTGAGCCGGTACAGGTTGATGCTGCTGCTGGTTCATGAACGGAAAACCGTGGTGAGGTTCTGCTGGAACCGGTCTAGGAAGAAAGTTAGCCGGTACAGGTGGATGCTGCTGCAGCTTCACGTAGGGAAAAGCGTAGTTAGGTGGTGGAACCGGCCCAGGTGGATGATGCGGGAACATGATCGGAAAAGTGCTGTAATGTGGTGGAACCGGTTTAGGAATATCAAGAACCGGTTCAGCTGGTTGCTGCTGGTCATTCATGAGCTGAGATGCAGGTTGAGAGTTCTGAGATTCATCCTGACCCAACAAATTGGGAAATTTAATTGCGCAAATCCAACATTAGAGAGAGGTAAACATATAAACATTAAAGCCCTGAAACTAATCATCTTCTACAACTAAATCATCTTTCTGAATAAATTCCCAAAAAAAGCCCTAATCTGATCTATCTAACCGGGACTAAACCAAACTCAGAGTTTACTTGGATAAGGGGCAAGAGAAAGAGACTCAAGATAATTGGAGAAGAACCTGATAATTAAACCCAGCAAAGATGCCTAATAAAGCTTCAAGAAACAGAGCCGCTAGATGCTCGTCTGTAGATGCAACAATCTGCTTGATCACTTCCATCCTTAAATGGTTCGCACCAACGAAGACTCTCGCAAACGCCGTCTTATCTTCCTCCGCCGCCTCATCCACTGAAGCCGCCGTCTCCATAACCGTTTTCCTCTGTTCCCCTTCTTGCTGAGAAAGATACGTCGAGACCCAATTTTCAGAGAATCGAGCCGCGAAACGAATATGTGCTTCCTTCATCTGATCCAGTAGAACAGAGACCTTAATCGCAATCTGGTCCTCGAGATTCTTCAACAGCTCTTCATGCGAATGTTGATTCTCTTTAATGGTGATAGATCGGAAGAGACTGGTGAGGAGGTAAGGATTGATGTCGCCGAGGAAGAGAACCGGCATCTCGAGCGACTCGCGCCAGGTAGGGAAGAGAGGATAAGGGATGGTTTTGGCGAAGGAATCGAGTTTTTCGTAGTACCATTTTAAGCTTCCGAGGGCGAGTTGTATGCCGGCGGAGAGTACGGAGGCGGGAGCGGCGGAGGGTACGGAGGCGGGAGCGGCGGAGGAAGCTGGTTGCTGGAGGAGAGGGAGGCAGTCATGGGTTACGGATCTTGACCACCTGTAGAAGAAATCATTGAAATCAAGAACAGGTGGATCGAATTCAAAGGTAGAGTCTGACATTTTTCTCGGAGAGGAAGAAGAATGACAACGGAGGATTTCTCTAGATTTCTTGAGGGGTTTTTTCTTTTTATCGTTAAGGTTTCTTTCTGTTTTGGAGGGAAGGCAATAATATATAACTGAATATCAGAATATCGGTTTAACTTGAAACCAAATCGAATCTCAAATGATTCATTTCGGTTCGGTTGAATCACCAGAACCAGACCAATTTCTTATTATAGATATCGAATTTCAATTATTGACCGCGGGATACATTCATTTCACACTATCCGACTTAATTGTGTTCAAAATTGCGCAAGCACCGTTAGATTCGTCTTTAGATATCAAAAATTACTTTATGTTTTTTTCTTTTAACCAAAATAGTGTTAAGATTCAATTATTGCCTCAAAATTGTTAATGCGAAAACATTTGTGACCGAGTTAACCATCGTATGAGTCTTGACCGGGGTTGATTTTCCTATTTACATATGATGATGCTTAACTTAAAGCATTTGTGTAAACTACAGGGACCTGATTTTTTTTATTATGATGATGCTTCGATGGGGTTGATGAATAAAAAAGATGCTGTTGATCTCGCCATTGATGGAGTTTTTTCACAAGATTAAATTTAGAGTCTGATTTTTAATAAATCCAATTTATCATCAGATTCTAGATTTAATATTTAAATCCAATCTATAGTTTGAGGATAAATTGGATCATCAGAATTTCACTGACACCGATGAAAAGATGAAAAGAGAGAAAAAGAAAGACAACTTTCAAACCGAATTATAAATTCATTAAAAGTTATTTATCAAATTTAGTTATTACAGTAAAAAACTTAAGTATTTTGATCAATTACTATTATAAAAAAAAAAATAATCCTTCAAAGAATGCCCCCGATTAAAAAAGTTTCTACATCCACCAGCAGCAGCCCGTCTCTCCTATAAAAACAAATGAAGCACAAAATATGTTACATTCTTAGGGATCATATTTTTCATAAAATGTTAGCTTAGTATGAATATGGGACCTATAATTTGATTCATATGTATATGGTCCATCATAATCTGGACTCTGGAGAGATTCAAACAGAAGAAGAAAACTGTATCCCGAAAATTTCAAAATTGAATTGTGTCCCGTGTATGGCCTACCTTGGCGAATATTTGTTAACTTTGCAAAAACTTATTTAATCGAAATCCATGAAATTTATTTATCAAAATGCTATCTGTTATGAATTCTTCTTACAAAATGTGCAAACCGACCGTGTCTCTTGTGAGTTACTTCTAGACTTTTTCATAGAATACGAAAACAGTAACAATATCTCTTGTGCTATTAGAAAACAATTGAGTTGCAACGTCGAAGAAACGATCAAACAAATCAATTGTTTTCGGTTTAATTAGGTTGGATTATTAACACCTACAATATACTACTAGTTTTGCTTTAAACCCCAACAGTCATGGATAATACAGAAAGAATCATCACACAATGCATGAGCTTCCCTCAGATTCTTGGGAAATTCCTGAGAAGAACGAGAAAGTTATAACATATTGGTATGATATTTTAACCAAAAATACTTGAGCGTGGCATATAATATTTATTTTGTGTTGCTGCAATCTTATAGAATAAAGAGGGTTATTATTTATATATAAAAAATAAATTGTATTATACTACATGTAGTTCCTATAAGTTTATAGATCTTTTATTAGGTATAATATTATTAGGTGCATATAAGTTTACAGAGCTAGAAGTTTATTTATTTGAATGCTTGATCATATTATTGTATTTCTTGAAACAATGTCCATCGCCATATATATTTGAAATCGTATCAAGATTAAAACCTCTAACGTTGTTCACAACCTTCGATACTCAAATAATTGATCGATCACTCACTAACAGCTAGCAAAGAACTTCGACTTAATAAAACGAGTTGAGATTAAGATAAATTACAATTTACATGGAACAAAGAAAGCACGCAGCTCAGAACATCGACTGTTTTATAGTCTACAATTTTTGGACGACAAAGATTATTATTTTTTAATTATGATTTTTTGTTAAAAAAAACTAAAACTGTTTGGTGACACATCAAAAGAAAATGAGAGCAGTCCTTATAACGGTCGTCTTGAAGTTTTCTAATCATAGTGAGATGATTACGCATTTGCTACAATAAACTGTACCATCTCATTTTGTGAATTGAGAGCTAGAGAGAACAATCGCAGGAGATGAAGAAGAATCAGTCTATAAAAATTGGTATCGGAACTGAAACCTCAACTGAAGAAACTATTTACAAAAACAAAAGACTCTTTTAAGTATCATATCCCTCTAAGAAAATACTGAAGGCTCATCACTCTTTTAGTATCAATTCCAAGTAAAAGAAGAAAAGTGTGTGCCACCGGTTGGCATTCTACCTCCAGAACCAATAGTGACACGCCTGTTGCAACAAAGAGCACCCTCCATTTCCTCCTTAGCACGAATTCGATCGTTCACATCCGAGAAGCTAACAAAACCATATCCTTGGCAAGCTCTTGTGACATGGCAAATCTTGACTGCTGCAGCCCTAACCGATTGGTAACGTGCTCTGAACGTATCTCCTAGCACATCAGCCGTAACATCGTCGCTCAGATTCCCAACGTGTATAGTGTATTCCGCTCTGAGTTTCGACCAGTGCAATCTAAACCGCTTGATGGGAAACACGCCAGGGATCTCAGCGTTGTTGTATCGTTGTAGAGCCCGGTTCGCTGCAGACCAAGTTCCAAACTCGATAAAACCGTACCTCTGACCGGTTTCGCTGTCAGGGATGACTTTAGCGGAAACCACCCTGTCGTATGGAGCAAAACAAGTGTTGGTGAGGAAACCTGAGTCCATGTTGTCCTTCACATCTCCTATCCAAAGTGTCCGGTCATTTGATGGAACCGGAACCGGCACAGGAGGAAAGTGAGCCGGTTCAGGTGAACGCTGCTGGTTCATGAACGGAAAAGGTGATCTAGGAAGATTGTGAGCAGCTTCAGGTATACGCGACTGGATCGGAAAAGCCGGTCCAGGTGGTGGAACCGGTCTATGAAAACCGTTAGCCGGTCCAGGTGGTGGAACCGGTCTATGAAAACCGTTAGCCGGTCCAGGTGGATGCTGTTGGTTATACATGAGCGGAGATGCATGTAGAGGAGAGTTCTGAAATCCCTGACCCTACAAATCCAACAATTTAGAGATCAAAGCCCTAAAACAAATCATCTTCTACAACAAATCATCATCTTTCTGAATAAATCAAACCAAAATCAAAATTTTTACTTGAATGAGAAAGTTACTCAAGATCTTGGAGAACTAGTACCTGATCTTTAAACGCAACAAATAATCTGAACAGAGCTTCAAGAAACAGAGCCGATAGATGATCCTCTGTACCTTCAACAATCTCCTTGATCACTTCCTTCCTTAAAAGATTCGCCTCAACGAAGATGTTCGCAAACTTCTCCATCTCTTGCTTGCCCTCCTCATCCATCACCGCCACTGAAAATTCCGTCTCCATAACCGTTTGCCTCTGTAGCCCTTCCTGAGAAAGATACGCCGAGCTCGAGACCCAGTTTTCCGAGAATAGAGCCGCGAAACGCATCTGTGCTTCGCTCATCTGATTTAGTAGAACAGAGACTTTATCCCTAACCTTGTCCTCTATTCTCTTCAACAGCTCGTCATGTGAATCTTGACTCTCTTTATTGGTGATAGATCGGAAGAGACTGGTGAGGAGGTAAGGATGGAGATAGCCGAGGAAGAGAATCGGCATCTCGAGCGGGTTGCGCCAGGGAGTGAAGAGGAGGTAAGGGATGGTTTTGATATCGTTCTTGGCGAAGGAATCGAGTTTTTCGTAGTACCAATCTAAGCGTTCGAGGACGGTTTTAATGTTGGTGGAGGGTACGGCGGCGGAGGAATGCTGCCGTTGCCGGCAGAGAGGGAGGCAGTTTTGGTTTACGATTCTTGACCACGTTGCGTGGAACTCACTGAAATTGAGAAAAGGTGTACCGCCGTAGAAGAGAGAGCCAGACATTTCTCCGAGAGGAAGAAGACGATGATGGAGGATTTCTTTTTATCGTAAGCTTCTCTGTTTTGGAGGGAACGCAATATAACTGAATCGGTTTAACTTGAAACCAAATCAAGTCGCATAAATTCAAATTCGGTTCAATGTTAAATCACCAGAACCATACCAAATTCTTATTATAGGAATCGAAATTCAATTATTGAACACTCAAATCGTCCCTCCCCGTGACCGCGAGATGCATTCACACTATCCGAGTTTTTTGTGTTCAAAATTGCACAAGCACCGTTAGATTCGTCTCTAGATATCAAATATTTACTTTATGTTTTTTAAAACCAAAAGAATGTTAAGATTCAGTTATTGCCTCAAAATTCTCAATGCGAAAACAATTGTGACCGAATTAACCATCGTTTGATTCTTCACCGGGGTTGATATTTCTATTTATGTATAACGATGCTTATTTTAAAGTATTTATGTAAACTACAGGGACCTGTCTTGTAATTAGCTTAAACTACTCTTACCATTAATAAACAGAGAGAAAAAGGAAACCACCACTCTCACTCCGACAAACTCCATAACTATGGCTTCCAAATCCACCGTCACAACATTGACCCTCTTCCTCTTCTTCTTCTTCTTCGTAGAGCCTACGGTTTCACAGCAAATCTCAACCGTCGATTCGGAATGCGCCGGCCGTTGGATCCACATCCGTACACTCCCTTCTCGATTCAATCTCGATCTTCTATCAACTTGCAATCGCTACCCAATCACCGACGATCTCTGCCCTTACTTAGCCAATCACGGTCTCGGCCCAAAAACACATACCCGTACCCGAAGCTGGTATCGAACCGACCCGCTTCTTCTCGAACTCATTTTCCACCGTAGGATCCTCGAATATCCATGTCTCACACCCGACCCGAATCTCGCCTCCGCCGTCTATCTCCCTTACTACGCCGGAATCGATTCTCTCCGTTACCTTTACGGACCCGACGTGAACTCCAGCGCGGATCACGGGTCGGATCTTCTCGAGTTTCTGACCCGAGACTCGCCCGAGATCTGGTCTCGCCGCTCGGGTCACGACCATTTCCTCGTCATGGCTCGACCCGCTTGGGATTTCTCTCAGCCGTTGACCGTTGACCCTCCGATTTGGGGAACTTCGTTCCTCGAACGACCAGAGTTCTTCAATCTCACCGCGTTAACGCTCGAATCGCGTTTCTGGCCGTGGCAAGAGCAAGCGGTTCCTTACCCGACGTCGTTTCACCCACACAGCTTGCCCTTTTTGGAATCGTGGATCCGAAGAGTCCGTCGTTCACGGCGAACCTCGCTGATGCTATTCGCCGGCGGCGGAGGAACCTCCTCTACTCCGAATATCCGTCGTAGCATCCGGTTAGAGTGTACCAACACGAACGTAACCGAAACCGAGTCGGAAATCTCTTCCGACTTCTCATCGGAGCAACGAAAGAGCAAAATCTGCGATTTCGTCGATTGCTCGAACGGAATCTGCGAGCACGATCCGATTCGATTCATGAGACCGATGTTGCAATCCTCGTTCTGCTTGCAACCACCAGGAGACACTCCGACTCGGAAGGCGACGTTCGACGGAATCATCGCCGGGTGCATCCCCGTTTTCTTCGAAGACCAGACGGCGAAAATGCAGTACCGGTGGCATTTACCGGAGGAGGAATTCTCGGAGTTCTCGGTGACGATTCCGAAGGAAGACGTGGTTTTCAGGGGAGTGAGGATCGCAGACGTGCTGATGAGTATACCGAAGGAAGAAGTTGAGAGGTTGAGAGAGAGAGTGATAGAGATGATGCCTAGAGTAATGTATAGAAGACATGGTGCTTCAATGGGTTTGATGAACAAGAAAGATGCTGTTGATATCGCCATTGATGGAGTTTTGCAGAAGATCAAGTCTAGAGTTTGATTGGAACACTAACAACACTTAAAACTAGTGTTTATCATGTTGTTGTTGTTTAATTTTTTGTTGGCATCTATTGTAACTATAGTTATTCATGTTGAGAAGATTTTATATTAATCTCAATATATGTTCTATACGTTGGATTTGAAATCCCACTTGAGTTTTTTTTTGGTGTTAGTAATATATAGTTGTTGAAAGTTTGTAATAGATGATAAGTTTAGGGGATTTTTCTCTTCTTTATTTCATTTGGTTCTTGGATTATTGCGAGTCCTGGTAATGATTAGAGAGATTGGTGTAATATTTTCACTAGTCTATGAAAATTTCTTGTTTGTGTATAATCACTACATTACCACAAATGAAATTCCTTTGTTAGTTTATATATATAGTTGTTGGATGTTGAAAAAGTGGATGATAAAATGGTTTAAGACTTTAGGGGTTCTTTTAAATTCCTATGGTCCTTCGATTATTGTGATCTCTGTACTATATTTTGGTACCATTGGACAAGTACAAACATCAATTTTTGGCACTTGCATGCAAAAACAAATTCACAACAAAATGTTTATATATTAAACTATACATTTTCATTGTCTAATTAGGAATGTTTGTGAACTTGAAATGAAACTCAAACGAAACTTGAGGCAGAAATCATATGATAGATTCTTGACGATTTTTAAGAAACATATGCGGTGGCTATAGGTTTTAGGTAAAAGCCCATGTAGACTAAAAGTATTATTATAATGAAACCCATTTACTTATTTGGGCCTGATATGTTTGCGTTGCATGTCTTCTTCTTCATATGCACGTAAAGAAATGTTTAATCTTTGGAGATTGTAGGTCACACTACGGAACTTCTGAGCTTTACAAAGAACCAACCTCACTTGTCATAATGGAGCTTTCCTCTTGGCTCTTGCAAGTTGCAACAGAGTAACACATATGCACGTTATGTATAAGAGAAACTTTCTACATTATCAGTAATCTCATCTTGAGAAAACTTGAATATATTTTTGGTTTTCTTTGTATTTGAGTACTTTAGTGTGAACAAATATATTCTTAATCTTTAACGATTCATTATCTCAAATTTTATAATTTTTATTTAAAATTATATATCTAGTATGCAATATTTGTCATTTTTCATTCTAACCCCTATCATGAATCCGGCGAACACTCCATATATTAACTAATAATAAACTTGTTGTTTCGTTGAACTAAATAAATCATATGACGGAAAATTGACAGAACATAATATAGCAGGAAAATGACTTTTTTACAAGGAAAATGACTTTAAAGATGTGAAAAGGAGAGAAATTAAATAAAGTCAGTGGGGAGACAAATGGGTAATGGCGCACGACTAACACTCGTCCACAAAAGCTTATGAGATTGTCCAATTGATTCGACCGATTATAGTACACTCCACAATCTCATTAACCACTTTCTTTTGTCCTTTTTTTAATTAATCGATACCTTGTTTTCTTCAAGCCCATTTCTAATATTTATTTTTTAGGTTTTCGTTTTTCTTTATTTTTTTGCCAATAACACCTGTGAATTTTTCGCCAAAAAAAAAACACTTTTGAGTTTTTAAGTAGAAAAATAAGTTTGTTTTGTTGTACATGGTAGTATTATCTAGATATTTATAGACGTATATAAATGAGCAAAACTTTAATCATATTTTGTAAACATATACTAGTATACGAATTTGATTTACGTCTAGTGAGAAAAGATAAATAATTATTTGTCCATAAAAAGTGCTAGGTTCCTAAAACTTGTAAAGAAAACGTTGTTGTGCAAGTTAATTTTTAGAAAATGGTATTTTGCCAAATTATTTAATACTTTTACAAAATAATATTAACGTCGTGGTATGTAGCATTTGTCATTCTGAAATTAAAACAAGAAAATTATTATCTTTGGTTAAAATTCAAATGTTTAGTGTCAAAAATCCAAATTCAGAACTTGATACATCTCTTACCCCCAAAAAAACCAATTCAACTAGAAAAGTTCAAAATTTCAATCTTTCTTTGTATGTTTGTATATATTAAAAATAGATTAATAATAAAAATAACAAATATACCATTTTCGTACAAAAGTAAAAGTGGAGTCACAATATGCTTACCAAAAGTGGTCATATGAAATCTAGACATCATACAAGACACGGAATAAAAGAGATTCGCCTACTTTTGCAGCTGCAACATTGTGAATACTGCTGATAATATATAGAGAAATTTGTCGATGAAACTGTTGATAATATTGATGTTATATAATCTAGAGTATACTGCATAAAAAATTATGGGATTCTATGTTAAGAATATGTCATTAAAATGTAGACGAATCACGCTATTGGACATCTTTGTCCCAACTTAGATTTTGAGCATGTTTCTCCAGATTTAGTGCAATAATTGAGGAAATAGACAGAATAAGAAACGAAAAGACTGGTGGAGGGGTAAATAGGTAAGATGGAGAATTCGAATTGAAGGAGTGGCCTATCAAAATTCAAAAGGTGGTGAGCTTTTTTTATCTTATTCTAGGCCATGGACAGGCCTAATTAAAAGCTCCAAACAAATATTAAAAATAGACAAAATAAAATCTAAAATAGAAAAGAAAGAAACATCGCTTTCATTTTTATTAGTTTTCAAATTTTTATTATATATTTTCAGACTTGCTTTCAGTAAATAAAATGTCATAAAAACAAAATCTGTAACTATAGATTTGCCACTCTAAATTCCCACTTGGAGTGTGTGCAGTAAAGTGTATTTAGATACGCAAGTTAGGCAAATCTTTTTAGGGTCTTGCTCGAACTAGTTGATGATATTTGTTTAGATTTTCCTGTTTGACCATAGTATATGATTTTTGAAAAAAAAAAGCAATCATCTGAGCAGCAGATATACAAATCAATGACGAGAACTGGAACTGAGTTCGATGTTGAAGTATCTATCATCGGACTAAATCTTGATGACCATTGTATTTTGCATTTGGATATGATTTTCTAATTTAGCATGTACGTTTAAGGTTTTGAATTTAAACGGAATGACAGATTAAAAGTAGAATAAATGCAAATCATTAAAAATGTAGATTTATCCTTTTTTCAGAACTATATATACATATATATATAATATGTACACAAATAATATGTTCCTTATTTTTTAGTGATAAAAACAGATCAAATGCATCATCCACTTATTTATAGCAGGTGAATGTAAATTTATTCATTTATATATACTAGGTATTTATCCATGCTAAGATGCAAGATACTTTTTCTAGATTTTGCATATATTTTTAATATAATAAAATTATTTTTATAATAGAAACGAGTATTATATTTATTTTTATTAGCTTAAGTTATGTATTTATATGTTTTAAATCTCAAAACACATTATATATCCATAATTTTTTTTATTTTTCAAAATTATAACATATTATCAAATTTGTTTAGCTAACTAGTTTGATAGTTTAAGAAACATATGTTTATAATAACTATTTGATAAATAAATAAATTTTCTAATTCAAAATAATAATATTAATTAATATTTTTTTCAAAATGCTAATTTGCTTTATATAATTTCAAAGGAGGATCAAGTGACAATTTAATAGAGAAAATAAATTACATTTATCATTAGCATAAAGATACTTAAAAATATGCTTCCTCTATTTCATAATAAGTGTCGTTTGGAAAAAATGTATCTGCAATGTATCTGGATGTATTAAACTCAAAACACATCCAGATATATCTAGTTACAATGCAGATACATTTTTTCCAAATGACACTTATTATGAAACAGAGGGAGCATATTTTTAAGTATATTTATGCTAATGACAAATGTAATTTATTTTTTCTACTAAATTGCCACTTGATCCTCCTTTGAAATTATATAAAGCAAATTGCCATTTTGAAAAAAAATATTAATTAATATGATTATTTTGAATTACAAAATTTATTTATTTATCAAATAGTTATTATAAACATATGTTTCTTAAACAACCAAACTATAATCAATAACATTCATATCAAAATCATTGCTATTGCTTTAGAACTAAATAGAAAGTTCTGTTTGAAATATTGAAATATCGATTTAGTTGAAGTTAAAAAATTAAATTTTGGTTACCGTAAACATATTGTAACTTGAAAATTTAGTACAAATAAATTTTATCTTCTTACAAAAACCGAGAAATCGCATTTTTCCGACAGAACAAAAAAAATTCATTTTTCCACGAAACTGAAAAATCGTCTATTCTCGCCAAAACAAAAAAAAAAAATTATTTCCTCGTCAAACCTGAAATTTCATTTTTCCACCAAAACAAAGAAATTGCATTTTCCCGTAAAAGTCAAAAATCATATTTTTCCGTGAGAATCTGTGTTTTTCCGCCAAAACAAAGAAATCAAGTTTTTTCACCAAAATCAAAAAAATTCATGTTCTTGCAAAAACAAAAAAATTGTAGTTTCTCGTGAGAACCGAAAAAATTATTTTTCTGCAAAAACCGAAAAAATCGTCTATTTCCGCCAGAACAAAAAAAAAATCATTTTTTCATCAAACCAAGAATCACACCTTCCTACCAAAATCGATAAACTACAATTTCCTGAAAAAACCAAAAATTGCATTATCTCTTGAGAAATTGTGTTTCCTGCAAAAACTAAGAAATCACATTTTCCAGCGAAAACTAAAAAATCACCTTATTTGTCAAAAATTGAAAATTTGCATTTCCCATCAAAATCGAAAAATTGCTTATTCCCACCAAAATCGAGAAATTGCATTTTCTGCCAAAATTATCAAATTACAAATTTCCGTAAAAACTAAAAATCACATTTTCGTGCAAAAATCAAAAAATCACATTAATAATCAAAAGCCGAAAATTTGTATTTCCTATCAAAACTGTGAAATCGTATTTTTTCATCAAAATTGAAAAGTTGCATTTCACTCGCATTTTCTTGTAAAAACTAAGATATTTTGTTTTCGCGTCAAAATCAATTTTTTTCTCACCAAAACAAAAAATTTACATTTTTCCGCCAAACCCGAAAATTCGCTTTTTTCGCCATAACCGATAAATTATGGGTGCAAATGGTTTTTACCAAAAAGTACCAGTAGAATAAATAATAGAGGAAAAAATGAGTTGAATTTTAGAGGAATGAGTTCCTCTCCAAAATAGTAGAGGAATGAGTTGAACAAATTTTCGTTATAATTAGTTCATTTTCTAACTTTTTCGGTGGAATGAGTTGAAACATTTTTCAACTCTTTTCAACCCAAATGGTAAAATTTAGGGGAATCTGCAATTTCCAGATTTTATTCCTCTAAATATGCAACCATTTGCACTTTATATTTTCCTACCAAAACTGAAAATCACATTTTCCTACCAAAACTAAGAAATTCTCTATTCTTGCCAAACCTAAGAAAATTTGTTCTCGGTAACCACCAGAAATGCGAAGCTCCAAGCTGTGGTAGTCCGAGCTTCTCCTCATTTGCTTTCGACTTCCATTTTTTGTAAACTTTAGGCTTTTTTAAATGGGTTAGCAAAATAGTAAACTGATTTTATTAGTATGTTAACGATATGTTTTTATTGGTTCAAATTTTTGCTGATGTGTGAGCTTCTTATAACATAATATTTTTTTGCGTTGTTGGTATAGAAACATAGTTGATTATAAGCTTACACTTTCTTCAATCATATACGTCTCTGTCAAAGTAACAGATAGCTAAAATTTTTTTTATTTATTTGCTGTTAATTATTATTTGGGTCTAGATTTGGCAAAAAATATAACAATTTTTTTTTGCTGTTATTTATTATTTGGGCTTGAGTTTTGCAAAAACTAAAACAAAGATTTCTTTTTTATTTGTTGTTATTTATTATTTAAGTTTGAAATTGGTAAAAAATTAAAACAAAGACTAACAAAAAAAATTAATTGGGTTTTTAATGGGTTTAAATTTAAAAATTAAAATAAGTAGATAAGTTGTATTAATAAAATATTTTTATTGGTGATTTTTTTTTGCTGAGATGTCATCTTAAGAAAACTTGAAAAAACTTAGATGTCTTCACCAAGAGAGACTTATGTGTTATTGTTGTATCAACTATGTCTGATTTGTAAAATCTCTTTGATCTGTATTTTAATATTTGCATTATCATTCAAAGCCTAAATAGTGAATAGCTAGTTCATGGTGAATTTGTTTCTTTTGTGGATGTGAAGACAAAACAAAAAAATTAATCATTAATAAAAGGTGAATTTGTTGAATAACCAAAAAAAATATAATTTTAAAACTAACTAAATTCTTATAAAGAAATAGGGAGAGATAGAAAAAGAAATTCGTTTTTCACAAAAAAAAAAAATTAAAAAATTGGTTAGTTTTTAGATTATAGGATTTTGTTTTGGTTACATGGATTGTAAGTTGTAACAAAAAGAAATAAGTTTCACAAATCTGTTAAGTGAAAAGCAAATGAAATGTAATAAGCTTGCTTGAAAATTTTGAAATCTATATCGTAGAAGTTAGAAATATGTACTCTTTTTTTTTTAAGTTCTTATATATAGATAAAGTTGAACGCGTCTTTAAAAAAGACATTGGAATCAAAATAGTAGTTAATACGCAAACGTAATGATACTATTTATTTCAGTCGATACATATTTTAAAATTATTTATGTTCTTTTATTCTTTAATTGGTTAGCTACGTTATGTATGTTTCTAGACATTAATACTACATTCGAAAGATGATGTCAGTCGATGTTATTGTGTAAAAACATGGCATGCAAGAAATGAAACAAATCTAACTTAAAACTTACTAGGTATATGTTATTGAAAGTAGTAAAGCTCAAATCACACTTGTTCACTTTCCAACTTGGGTCTGTTAACTATTTCTTTCTATTCGAAGATAATATAATTGGAAAAACTGTAACCACAAATTTATTCTAATGATTTTAAGGAAAACCAGAAACAAACCAATAAAGAAAAGGCTTTCAAGTTTATTCTAAATTTCTAATCAACAAGATAAGATAACGAAACAGACCACTTGTCTCTCTATATCTATGAGATAATTTAACGACTGAGGGAGACTTTGTCTTTCAAGCTTTTTGTATTTATTTTAATTAACATGAGTATTGTTGGAGGCTAAAATAAAAGACAATCGAGAAAGACGAATGTTTGAACGACACGTTTAAACGCTTCGATCATTTCTATTAATGAGACATAGATATCTCTTGTACTAGTTATAAAAATGTTTAAACAAAAATCGGATAATTTTGTATTCTATTTAGGAGGCCTTGAATTTAAATCAATAATTGATATTATAATTTTAACTAATATTATGTTTTACTAGATTTTTTGAGTTTATATAAAAAACTTATTTTGAGATTTCAAAATTCAGTGCTGTACACAAAATATTTAAATGAGTTAGTGAATTCTTTAATGTGTTGAAAATGTAAAACAAATGTAATACTAGGTTTTTATGTGAACAGTAATAAAACATATTTAATTATCATCTAATTTTTTTGATTCAAGATTACAGAAAGGAGAGAGAGAGTGTCTGAACAAAATCAAAATCAAAACTGTAATCGAAAAAGAGACACAACTAGATTAGGTTTGGTTTATTAAAAAAAATATTGGATTTTAACCATCTCATCCATCAGTCCACTACAAATTAATTTATTTCAAATCCAATCCATTAGATCCATCAACATACGTTAGAGTTAAAATTTTAAATCCATTAGAATTGACAGATTGGATCGAATTGGAACAATCCATAAATTTAGATTTAATTTCACATCTCTACCTACATACAAAAAAATCATAACGACTAAAGTTTAAATCAATATTCAGTTACCAAATATTATATTAAATTCTTAAAATCATGAAACCTATATAACTGATTTTAATGGAAATAGAAGATATCTTTCTTTTTGTTTTTTTTAGTAATTGATTCTGAATCTATTTGAGAGACAACTTTAGGGAAGATAATCTAATACTAGTTTATAATCTCATTTATAAATTATAACAGTCCATAATTATGTAAATAATTTGAGGGCTTATTTTTTTTTCCCCTTATCTCATTGGCTTTACAGTTGTAGATTTGAACACATTTTAAGCACACTACATTTAAACACAGAGAATCAGACTAAAAAAATTAATAGATATAAATAGTGGTAAGAGTCTAACGACTGCTTCACTTTATCTTTCTCTCTCCCAAAATCCTTGAACAAGAAAGAGAGAAAGAGAAGATACACACATCAGAAAAACAGAGGATTTTCATTCAGTGTTTTGCTTTTGATTTCTTATCTTTTGTTCTTCATTGACAATGTCGGAAAACAAAATAGAAGAGGATCCTCGTATCAACGGAATCAAAACTAAGATCCGTGTCGTTCCAGATTTTCCCAAGAAAGGTAATTTTTTCCTTCTTTTCTTCTCTTATTGTTATCGAAGTGCTCTGTTTTATGTTTTTGGTTACATGCTCTATTTTTTTTTTTTTTTTTTTTTTGGTTACATGCTCTATTTCGTCTCGTAGAAAATGTTGTTTATCTGAAGAACTAGTTTTCTTGGCTGTCTTTTACTCGAGAGAATGCAGGTTTGTTCGTTTTATAATATCTTTTCTTGCCGACAAATATTGTTGATTTAGAGGATATTCTTACGGTCTTTTGTACAGTCTTCTTGGTCTCAATTCTGTTTGGTTTCCGATGAAGATTTGTTACATAGAGAAGAACATATATAAGTATGTGTTTAAATGAGTGTATAGGGTAATAATGTAAGGAGGAAATTGCAGGAATAATGTTTCAAGACATAACAACAGTGTTGTTGGATCCAAAGGCCTTCAAAGATACAATTGATCTATTTGTTGAGAGATACAGAGACAAGAACATCTCGGTGGTTGCAGGTATTATCTCTTTCTTTCTCTTTGCAATTCAGAATTTTTTTTTAATTAATTTTCTAAACATTGGACATAGTGTAATTTCGATGGAGTTACTATTTAAAAGATTCGACGTAATTGAGTGAACTTGGTTTTTTATTGTTTTCAAGATTTTCCGGGGAAAAGGTAGGTAGGTCATGATTTAAGTGACATATGGTAAAAAAACCATTACTGAAATTAAATTTCTTTCTTTAACAAAAGTTTTTTTTTTCAGTTAGGCTAATTTGAGTGTATTTTTTTGAACCGTAAATATAGGTTATTTTTTGGTGGGTGGTAATTAGTGGAATATTTTTTAAGATATAATTGACGGTCTATTTTTGTATTCCAAAATCTCTATAACATTGTACCGTGAATGAAAGAATACTTAAGGTTCAAAAAAAGAAGGTAGCTCAACTTTGTTATTCGAAGTGGTTGTTCTAAGTGTGTGATTGGTTGTTTTAATTAAAAACTGCTGTTCTTTGTTTTTTTGCATGTGGTTGTGTTTTCATTTTTTTTTTTTGCTTTTTTAGACATCGGTTGTAGGTCAACATATATGATTATTTAAAATCAATTTTTTAATTAAATTTATGATTGAAGTACGATATATATACAAAAAATATATACTTCATTTAAATATATATACAGGAGTTAATATATGTATATCAGCACAATATGATATTGAAGTTTGAAAGTCGGATGCAAATGGAAAGATAATATACGGTTTGTGTTTGACGATAATATTTTTTAAGTCACATACACAGTTTGAAAATAGATATCGACTTTTGTTTTCGAGTGTAAACGCAAATAATCAAATATTTTCGTTAATATCGTTTATTCGATGAAACTTTTGGTTGAGACAAGACTCTCTTATCTCTGAAATCTAAATCTTGGCCTGTGACTGAGTGATTGAATGAGATTGATTGCCTGGATCATTCTTCCTCCTAAATCATGTAAGAGAAAAGTTTATTTATTTATATTCTTCTACACTTTTCAAAAGTTTATAATTGTTGATCTTGCTTGTGTGAAAAAAGTGTATGTGTTTTGTGTGTGTGTGGTGGGTATTGTTTGGATAGATGGGTAGTTGAGTGATGGATGTAACCTTTTTAAAAGAGTTGGCCCCAAAAAAACTTGATTTGGGTTTTCTTTCTTTTTCTATCATCATTGTTTTGGCCAATTCTTTTCTTCCCTCTTTTTCTTTATGTCTCTCTTCTTCTGTGTAATGAAGTACAAAGCTTTTTACATAGCTACTGTTGTATGAATGTGAAGTATGATGAAGTACATCATTTCTTTTGTTACTTTCAAACCTTCGTACTATTCTTTTTCTTTTCTTAAAAACATATACTTTTTCATTTTCATATTCCTTTCTAATCAATAGAATTTTATCTAATTCAGATTTAATTATCAGAACAATGCAAACTCATTTCATTTATAGTTATAATTATTAGCCAAAAACCATGAAACATAAACGAGTTTTATTTATTTTGTTTACGAGTTCGTATTTAAATATTTTGTCATATAGACCCTGTTGAAGGAAGTTGGTATATATGCATAGCACATGGTACTGAACATAATTAATTACAAAAAAAAAACATATCTTATGGTTCCAACTTTTTCTTGGTTAGATTATTTTATGTTATAAACAAGCTGTTATTGGTTAAAACATCTTATTGGGTTTGTTGTTGGGATATACATATTTAGACTACTTGTAACATTCGACCGCATCTTTTGTGTTAAGTGCTCTAGAATCTGTCTATTGGGTAAGGTATTGGGACAAAGAGTCCCATTCTTTGGCTTTTATTCTATACCAATGTTCTTAATAATTAAGGTAGTTGTAACAGCTTAACAACAGGATATACTATTGTGTTTTTTTTTGTTTTTTGAACTCCATATACTATTGTGTTATTATACCTTATTTGCTATATGACATAACCAATTGGCGATTTTACATCGTTTGGTGTCATTTCAGGAATAGAGGCTCGGGGTTTCCTATTTGGTCCACCAATCGCGTTAGCCATTGGAGCAAAGTTCGTTCCTCTCCGGAAACCCAAGAAACTGCCAGGTTCTTTAGCATTTTATACTTCTCATACAACTTATTTAAGAAAATAGTACTAAGGTTAAATAATGTCCAACAAATATATAATGGTTATGGCGTAAAATGTAACTAGGTGAAACAATATTTGAGGAATACGAGTTGGAGTACGGAAATGACCGGCTAGAGATGCACGTAGGAGCTGTTGAGGCCGGAGATCGAGCTTTGGTCGTTGATGATCTTATTGCGACCGGGGGTACACTCTGCGCCGCCATTAACTTGCTCGGTAAATTCTCTAAGCGATATGAAAATTAAGTTATTAATTTTAAAGGCTAACATATTGAAGAAATTCATTACTCTTTGCATTTTTTTTGTTGGACCGTGTCAGAGAGGGTTGGAGCAGAAGTTGTGGAGTGTGCATGTGTGATCGAGTTACCCGAATTAAAGGTTTGCTGTCGTGAAAATTTAATACATTTTATTCGAAATAATAAATTGAGATCTTTTATATTGGTGTGACATTTAATTTGTTTGAGGTGGAAATTAAATTTTTGCAGGGAAGGCAGAGGCTCAAGGGGAAGCCATTGTGCATGCTTGTGGAGTACCGATGATTTACTTGAGCTATATGGATTAATGATTTGGTTAAATTAACTTTTGGTTATGCACCGAAAATTCGGATTATGCAGACTTTTGTTTATTGGATTATACAATATTTGATTTAAGGTCTGGCGGATTAGCTGGAACAAATAATCCAAAGTTCTTTGCTGTTAAAAAATTATAGTATATACATATATATGCATATTTTTTTAGCAATATAAATTACACGTGTATATTTGGATGATGATATAATAACATCATTAGCACAAAGTCACAAACTACTATATTACATGTAACTATATAGATATTAGATATATATATATATATATATATACACCATTACACTATCGAGTATATGCTAGTTACGGGTATACATTCAGATTAAAATAATCATCATTTTTGGAGTAACTTTAAACGTATTAGATAAGATCAGTGTAGATTTCTAGATAGATACATGGGAATACACATCATTACATTATCATGGCTTATGGGTTCGAGAAATCTATGGGATGGTGGACATAGCTGACTATTTTCAAATATATACACACAAATATTTTCAAATATAATTGACAAAAGGGTTGTTAGCACCAAAAGAGAAAAAGAAAATGATGGAAAACTTATTCCTTTGGTTCTTGCCTTTTTTTTTAATATATTTTTCTGTAATTAAAGGTTTTCCATTTTTGATAGCAGAAAACTTTCTCTTTAATAGAAGTGGAATTACTTAGTTTGATATTCTTAAAAGAAAATCTTATTAACACACCACCCAGGCTCAATATTTGAAATTTGAAGTAGCAAAAATGCAAACACCAACACAAAGTTTTAATAAGACTTTTTAATTTTATCATTCTTTTTTCTTTTGTGAGTCTATTGCCACCTCTTTTCAACTGCGACATAGCAATTGTAACCATACGTGCAAGTCGGTGGTGAGTGACTTTTTTTAGAATATACCAATATGCCATTAAGGTAACTCGATCTGTCTTCTTAGTTTGTCTTTCAGTCATAAAAAAAGAAAAAGAGTAGTTAGCCAAGTTCTGAAGTAGAAAATTGATGAATATTAAATGATTCACATTACTCTCTTGTACCTACCTTTCTTATCATTAATATTGTATATGCTGAAAAAATAAAAATTATACGTCTAATATAATTGAAAAACATAATTATAAGAGACAAATAAATGATTTTCCTAGGTCAAGAAGAAAAAGAGCTATGATTAGGATCTCCATTTGATATTGTAATTATAGATCATCATATTTAGTCTTCCACCCAATTCTGTTTGCCATGATTATGTTTTGTCTATCACATTATCTGAAGTCAAACTAAAACACATATATCCATCCCCACAAAAATAAAAAGAGTCAAAAAATTATAAAGGTATAAAGATCTAAGTCTTGCACTACATGAATAGAACAATTTCACTAGACATATTTGGTTACATATTTACACAAGTTATTTATGTAAAAACCCACCTTATTTTAAATTTATTGTGAAAATATGATATGTTTAAATGTTCAAAAAAAAAACAAAATATGATATGTTTAAAAAGAAAAATACATGGACAAGAATCGTAGGATATGTTAACTTTTTTGGGTCAAAAGGGTAGATTTTCGTATACAAACAAGCATTGATTCTACGTCTAATAATGTTCACAATACTTTCATAACATCAATTTTTGTTGGCTAGGAAAGTGATACTCTTCTAGGATTGGTTCATGCATACGAGAATATCCTCTCACATTTTGTGGTGTGTAGAACCATACGTTTTAAAACTACATGGTAAATTTATTTTTAACATTAAGAACATCGTGAGCTAGATATGTACACCAAAATAGATTACTCCTAAAGTATCATCCCAACCATTAAATACCTTTGAAATCATAAAATCCAATTCACACGTAGCAATAGGTACACCAAAAGAAACTAAAACTGAAAACATATTACTGTATCAGAAGAAAAATAAGCAAGATGATGGTTCACAAATCTTATGATGAACAGAGTTTTCTTCTCCTAAAAATTACAATCTCAAATCTATATCGAACTGTTAAAAAAAATGTGGTGTATACATAATAGGAATCGAATCGGGTCAAATTTCTTAAAAATTTGGCTACAGAGTACAGAATGTGAGGACTGATAAATCGACCGATCGATATGAGGCATTCGAATAATAATCCCACAAAAGCGACTTGTAATCTTAAATGATTCGACGTAATATTTAAAAGACATATAGTGAAAGAAAAACAACTAAAAGCCGATTAAAAAAAAAACACAAATTCATAAACTATAGAAACAATACTCCAGTTATCTAAAAGTGAAAAAGAAAAACATATTTTGAACCTGAAAGTGAAAAAGAAAGAAAGAAATCTATTAACTTTTTTTTTACAATATGAAAATGATTAGGAAACAAGGCAACACCGCTCGTGTATCAAAGACATACAACTCGCCGTCACGACCCGCTACTGAGTCAGACCCGAACCCGATTCTATTAGCAACCCGACCCGCTATGACCCGACAAATCAGCATCGCCCTCCTTCCTCCGCCACTTCCGCTGCTCGCATGCGCTTCACCGCTACCAGAAAACGTACATAACGCCTGCCCTCTCTCGCCGGCGAAGATCCAGTCGCCGCCGTTAATACCGTTTGGGAGTGGATAAAACCTCATCATCTCGTTACCGTCGGCCAAGCACCGTACGTCTTCCTCGCACGTGCCGGCTATATCCCCGTTTACACCCGCACGTGACTTGACGACCTCTCTGTACTCCTCGAATCGGGTCACAGTCCTTGACCCGTTATCAACTTTGAAAATCATCTCGATCCGACCCGGAAATTCATCGGAGCTCCAGCTAGACTGGAATATAATCTCCACTACGTTCCTCGACGGATGGCCATCGGGCAGCTCGGTCAGCGCGTTGGATGTTCGGGCAGATTTGCTCCGTCGGGTCCGGGAGGGCGGGTTAAGCTCCGATTCGGTTCGGCATGACTTCAAACGCCTTAAACTCGGGTCGGATTTTGTGTTTTTCTTACCGAATCGGGTATCGATCACGTCTTTGACGCAATGTGAACTCTTTCTACAGCTGTAACTCGACATTAGAGATTTGTTGTTACAATCGTAGACATCATCGAAAGCATTTGATTTGCAATGTAATGACTTGAAGTTGATCCACCCGTTTGGCATGATCGGGTACGGATCCGGATCCTTATTCGCTCCAGGAGAGTGTCGTTTTTCTCTCTTTATAGTCTTTTTCGAACTTTTCTTTTTGTATCTCTGTATTCTCTGTACGTTGAGAATCAAGAACAATACCCGCGAGCGTTTTACTCTTTGTGATTGCTTGAAATTACGGTTTTAGTCATTCCCCTCACTCCTGGGCCTGGGCCTGGGCCATGTTAACGTGGGTTTATTTTTTTTGGTTGGGAACGTAATAATCTTTCATAATCAATAAGAACATATGATGGTATTTGTTTCGATTTGGTGATTCAGATCATATAGTCTGTGATTCTGATTTTTATGTTAGTATGTGATATACGTATGACTGAGTTGGATGATAAGCAATTACTTTTATTTTCTTAAAAAAGTTACTATTGAAGAAGGAATCTAATTTATGATTGAACGAGGCAGAGTGATAAAAGAAGTTAGGTGAAAGAACTGCAAATTTGTTCTCATTTAATGAGGAAAGCAAATTGACGATGTGTTTCCTGTCAACATGTCAAGAACTTAATGATTTAAGTTTATTGTCGGGTGTTATTTATTGAGATATGACAATAGTAATAAATAGAAATTCAAGAAATTTTACTGTAGTGAAACAACAAGGTAAGGGCATTAGTAGGGCCGATTGTAATTTTTTTGAGTGTGCAGAAATCATAAATTATCTTCATTGGATACCAAAAAAGAAAAAAAAAATTATCTTAATTGATGTTAATAAGAAGGCAATGCAAAAAAAAAATATATATATATATATATATATATATATCTTATTGTACACTTCTAAAAGTATTGGAAAACTATTAAAATGAAGCATGAGAAAAAGGATTTTGTAGGAGACAGTTTATATTTGGTGGTCATAGTTGGATCAACTACTCTTTCTATGGGCCTTATGAAGAAAGGCCCAAATTATAAAAACGACGCCGTTTCCTTTAGTTCATCATTGTTAAAAAATCTTTGATTTGTTCCTTAAACGACGACGTCCGTATTACCAAACAATCTCTAACGACAGTGGGCGACAGTTATGTCTCCGTCGACGGCACCGATTTTCGTCGGTCCAATCTTAGCGGTGGACGCCGCCGTATCTCGCGCGATTCACACGGCGGCGAAGCCACTCCTCCCGCCATTTCTCCTCCTCCTCTTAGAGATCTCCGCTGATTTCCGATTCTCCTTCCCCGTCTCCCTTTCCCTACTCCTCTCCCCTCCTTTACGCCCTTTCCTCATCCCATTTCTCCTCGGCCTCCTCCTCGATCTAATCTTCGTCGGAATCGTGAAGCTAATCTTCCGTCGAGCTCGTCCAGCATACAATCATCCCTCAATGTCCGCCGCCGTCTCCGCTGACCACTACTCGTTTCCCTCAGGCCACGCATCTCGCGTCTTCTTCGTTGCCGCATCAGTTCACTTCTTCTCTGCCGCCATAGAAGCTCCCATGGTTGATCCGAGCTCCTCTTTCTTAGACGGTTGGGTCAGAGATCATCGCGATGGCGATGTGAAGGGAAACGTTGTGGTAGCTGTATGGATCTGGGCAACAGTGACCGCCATTTCAAGGATTCTCTTAGGGAGACACTACGTGCTCGACGTAGCTGCTGGTGCTTGCTTGGGGATTCTAGAGGCTCTCTTTGCTCTTCGGTTTCTGAGATTGGAACAGATCTTTGGGAGGTAAACAAATGTATTTCAGAATGTTGTTGTCGTTTGAACAAATGTTGAATCACATTCTTGCTGTAATTGTTGTGACATGAGGAATCCAAAATTTGAAACTGTTTCCGATTACATTGAGAACAATGCTCATGAATTCAAAGATTGTTACTTTTGTTCCAATACAGGCTCTTCTTGTATGAAATCTATGTTCATGAATCAAAAATTGTCCCTTTTTGTGTCATTACAGGGTCGTGTATGAATTCTTGTGTTATATGATCCTTAATGTGATTAATGAGAGATTCTTGTGAAAGCGATAATGTAATTGATGAACCATTTTGTAAAATGAAAGGCTAAACCTTTCGCATCTTAGTACCATCTGAAATTGTTACCTGAATATGGCTTTTTACCAGGACCTTAGATCATCTGTGAGCCATCTAAATTGTTTGGAACAATAAGCTTGTGAATGAAATTAATCACTCTGTTATACAGCTTTTACTTTCTATGTAACTTCTCTCGGGTTGTTTCGAGCTTTGAGAAAGATAAATTGAGGAAAAAGCAGTGGCATGTGGATATGTTTGGAGAGTGAGACCATGACTGATTTGATTAGATGTTTTTGCGTTACTGTGAACATGTTAATGCTTGCCAATATCTGTGGCTCCTCTGCGTTTGGGAATATTGCCTACCTGTGCGTAGGTTTCTATTTCTTTGCTCTCTTTCTTAGTGTAACCGACATGTTAATGTACTGTGTGACAGAAGAGTCTTCTTGTTTTCTGTCATAAAAGAAAAACCGTTGCTAAAATCGCCAGAGTCATATGATTCATTCCGACCAATGGCTTTGGATATACTTTTGCAAGTTCGGCTGCAGGTTCTCACTCGGATCTCTGCTTCTTCAGGCTGTCTTTGGTTTGATAGTCTCATCAAGGTTGGTGAAAGTTATGCCTCTGCTAGGCATAGGCGTAGTTTCAAGTCTCAACAGGTAATTTTAAGTACTTCAAAGTTTCAGTAGTAACTTAGAATGTTTAAGGTTGCAGGAGATGCGTGTGAAGTCGGACCCTACTTCTGGAATATGTAAGAGACTGTCTTCTACACTCGTGGAGCAAACTGTGTTAGAGATACTATTTTTTTATAAAAATATAGCTATAATTGAAGCTTGAATGAAAGGTGCATGATTAGTTTACTCCAAGATTCTTTCTTTCTTAAATATCTTTTTCACCTTCTACATATTCCTCTTACTTTTTTTTATTTTTGAAAAATAGAAGCTCATATTGTGATTGATTGATTGTGACATCATAAACTTGCTAAATTATCGCTGACAGAATTTGTTATGTGTCAGCTGTTTCTACAGCATTACCTGCTGGAAACTCAGTTGGATTAGACTGAGAAAACAGATTCAAGCTTAGATAGCCAAGGAGATCTCAAATTTCAATTGACTTGACCTTCTCACGGTAACAATCTTTCTTCTTGAGTTTGTATACCACTTACTACTTCTTGGATTGGTTCTTTGTTAATCAAGTTAACCTGATACCAACCAGAACCAATCGTTATATGAGTTTGGAGTGAGAATAGATCATTTATGAGGGTGTGTAGTCAATTATGGGACTGGTATGTGTTATTTTCTTTGGTGTTATGTTTGCTGCAAAAGTAGAGGCACACAAACTCACAAAGTAGGATGGTACATCAAGAACAACGACCACCATTTGGAAACTTTTTTCATTATGAGTTCACATGGTTATTTTCCTGTAGATCAAACAAGGACATACCTTGTTTCAACCTTAATCATCACTTTTAGATCAGCCTCTTTAAGTTTCTGTGGCTATGAAAACAAACCCTCTTTTTTTAATATTTTAGTGTCTCCTCATCAGAGACCCTACCACCATTGTGAGCACCGTCGTAGATTATTGACAAAATATTGGATCAAATCCAGTTTAATGATTAGCAAAAGAGAGTGTGATTAGGGAACAGTTAAATCACACTCGAGAGTTTAAAAGAAAAGAAAAAAAGGAATCATCATTTGAGTTGCGAGGTTGTGATGGAACATAGTTGCAGTGAAATCTCCTTTACATCTGAGTGGCAGAGGGTTGAAATGGGTGTGGTCATCTCTTTGTTACCATTTTTGAGGTGTATTATTGTTGTACTAGAGTTTCTACTTTTTGCCCTAAATTTTGCAAGTCAAGCACTCCTGTGACTGTGACCTAACTCGGTGAAAAAGAGGACCTGGAGCTAGAAAGAGAGAGAGAGGACTCTGGTGCTGTTCTGAGTTCATCATTATCATTGTCCTGCACTAACATCCCAAAAAAGGAAGAATTTTTTTTATAAAGAAAAATTTGATTACAGACATGTGAGTACTTTTTTTTTTTTTTTTTTTTTATAGAAAATCTGAAAGAGAAGAGGATAGTACCAAAAACACACACCTATAAGAAATAACTTCTCCTGGTGTTTTTCTTTTGGGGCTTTTGTCTGATATTCTTTAGTGAAAGTTGATTATTTTTTTAATTAAATTTTTAGATTTTTTTCTTAATGTACAAGGTTCATATGAAATATCTACATCTTAAAACTTCATATAATTGTTGAAGCCTTGATGGACTTTTTGTACATAATAATTGCAAGTCAAGAGGAGGTTAAAGAACAGGAAATGGATTCAAAATATAGTCAAAATATTGGTATTTGGTAAAGTAACATAAAATTGAAAATCGAAATGATTGTTTTCTTTAATTTTTTTTTGAGGGGGTAATTGTGGGTTGTCCTCCACTTTCTAGTTTCTATAGCACTCGTTTTCTCATAAACAAACTGTGTATATATATTATATAGAGAGAGAGAGAGGAAAAACTGTATATATATTTATTGTTAACGAAATTATGGAGACGGTTCTTTAAAAAGGACCACTGTGGAGATTGGATTTTACAATAGCAAGAGAGAACCTGAAGCACAGGAAAAGGTCAGAAGTGATGACAGACGTATATATATTTCATAATATCTTTGTCAAATTATTTATTTTTATTAAGGGTAAGAAAATGGATGTAATTCTGACATACATAAAAAGACAACTACATCAAATTCTCTTTTACCTCTTCCTATATCAAAAACTCCATAAACTTTCTACTTTTGATTTGGTTGTGTGGTTTGGTTTAATTGGAATTAGTTCATCGGGTATGTCGGTTGTTCTCTACAATTATTCCCAAGAACCAGAAGCTCTCTAAGGCAGAAAATAGAGGAAAAAAAATTAATCAGAAAATGATAATAGTAATACAAAAAGACATTTTGTATCCACATAGTAAACTTTTTGAGGTTCAGAATGAGTTTTAAATGATTTGGAGTACCTCCATTAGTTAGCATTTAGCAATGAATTTGAAAATGATCTGTAAATTAGCAATGATACTTTCGGTTATTTGTAAAGAGTGACAGTGACATATTTTCACTTTTTTTTTTGTTAAAAATGGATGAAAATGCTCCATGCCTAATCATTGACATGCTATATTCTGAACGACTTGTTATTTACTAATATAACATGTTTTCTTTCCTTCATCTAGCAACATATAGACTTCATTGAAAAAGAAAAAAAAATAGTATATATAACGTGTGATACAAACAACTCATGTTTCCATCTACGTATATTGTTTAAGAAAAAGCAACGATATTATTTAATCCTCTCTATCAAATGGTGAAGTTATGACATTTATTACCAATTCATCACCATCTGTTCAAATAATCCTAGTCCATAAATTCATTTTTACTATCTTCAATGTATAATTTGTGAATGAATATGAATCTCATAATAAGCATGGTCGATAAATAGTCTAGGAATTGAAAAATGTAGTAATTAGTTTTGGGATCCAAAAGCATATTCCTCAATTCAAGTACATATTATATAATTTTGCATTTGAAATTTGGAAATGTAACGTCTTTTGTAAAAAAAGTGCTCTGGAGAAACTTTAAAGGTTATCGTTTTTATGAAAGCTAATCCATAGTTTTAAGAAAAAGGGCAACACAAAACAATTTCTTATTCACGGCTCTGTTTATTTTCTTCTTCAAAGGCACGCAAGTGGCAGCAATCCGTACATAAACAATAAATATGAGAATCTTTCTCCCTCCTAACATTTTATATTTTTTCACCTCAGTACAACTTATATTTTGATTTCAATATGAATTTGGATTAATGTTTTAATTTTTTATTTTTGAACTTTATTTGGATTAATGTTTGAAGAGAACTACACACACTTCTCACTTCAAAAAAATGGAGAACTCTCTACAAAGTTACAAACTATTGCTTCTATTGGCATTTGCTTTGGTTCTGTGCCTTAACATGGAACTGAGTTTTCTTGCATCTGCATTGCATCTGCAAGAGCATGTTACGCAAAATACACCTCTTCTCTGCTCCAGTCAGTTGTACATATAATTTTTTCTATCATATCGGTATCTCTATAGAGATTTGGCCCTTTTGAAAATGATTAAATTAAGTACCTTTCAAGAAACGATTCAAGCATTTGATGATGAGAGGTAAAAAACATTTGAAATATAAATAAAGCAATGTCACGTGAAGGCTTGGCGAGTTGTAAGAAAATAAAAATAAAATGGTTTCTCCGCTGCTTTGTAACTTCTTTACCTATTCTATACTATTTTAAAGATTAGATTTCTCATGTCTATTATCAGTTATAAGACTATAATATTGTATCTTGGAAGTTGTAACACAGACGAAATACTATGGTAGAACATTCATTGGGGGAAAAGAACTTGTAAAGTAATTTTTAAAAATGATACATTTATTTTACTAAAACTAAATAAAAAAAATTATCTGCAAAATAAGATGTTCACAACTTCGGAGTTTATTGAATTTTCAATGGATAATGGAGTGGGGGTGGATGAGTGTGTAATGTTGAGTACTTATGAAACATGGATTTGATATGCAAGCTTTTTACGCGTTGTTCCTCTCTTGACCCACGTTTTTGCTTATTGTTTACCGCAATAATCTCGCCCTATTGTAATTTTTCTTATTTCTATTTAGCATCCTCCCATTGTAAGTTTATTGTGATTTTTTCATATTTATTAAGTCATAAGTACATTCCAGTAAATTCCTTTATCTTTTGTTTTTCAAATTTAAAATACATGACACTTTATTCATTCAGTAACTTGGTTTCGAACTTCATTTACATCATACAACATATTAAGTCATACAAATGTTATACAACTAGGTTTTACGAAAACAATTATATCAATTTAGTTTCTTACTAAAACAATTCCATCAGTTCTCATAATAAATAAGCAACCAAGTATGAAAACACGTATTTGAACTTGCATATCTACGATATCAAGTCATCAACTTTGTTATTAGACTTTTAAAGTGTAACACTTTCAGTTATTTTAAATATATTTTTTTTTGTTTTTTTTTATCTCAGCAAATTTCTCAAAATATATAGTTTTTCGTAAAATTGTGTCGTGATGGTCACTGGTCAGCCATTTAAAAAGACTTGTGTGTCAAAAGACTCAAAACACATGTTCACATTTAACTTTACACAAATATCTTCGAGCCAAATCATTTTTATTTATTTTTATAATTGAAAATTTTGTTGATTTAAAAACTTTTAATGTTAAGTATATAATTGAAATTTTATCAATGCAAGAGTGTTTTTCTTTACCATAGTTTCCAAAGTTTGTTAGATTTAATGTGTTTTTGTATGGGTGTGTTGGTAGTTGCAATATTTTTCTAAAAGATTTATGTCTTTAGTTTTTTTCTCCAACAATATATTATTATTCAGCACATTTCATTTTAAACATTAAGATGGGTCCTAATTTTTAGAGATGACACGTTTTTCCTTATGCAAGGTTATATTTTCCAACATTGTTTGGCAATTAGATGGATGGGAGTATCGGTGGACATTTAGTCAAAGACCTTTCTGTATACAATTATTGAAAATAATAATATCTATTATGCATTTTATCTTCTAATATAAAGTTGGATAGTACTTAATTGAAAATATCTTTAACTTTCACATCAAAAAAAGATAAGAGGACTATTAATTTCGTTGGCTTTTGATTTTTTTTTTTAATTTGTTTAAAAAAGAAAGTTTTGCTAATACAATATGTTTTCCTTTCTATCATTGTTTGGACCTTTTAACATATTCTCATATAGTTAATTAATTATAATATAATTGGATCTTATAACAACATCTTGTATTGAGACAAAAAAAAATATATATATATATATCGTATTAACATTAAAATTAAAAGTTTCATAAACTTACCACCATAATGAATAATGATAAAAAATGGTATCATATGGAATTATATACTCCACATCAAAGAGTCTAATGCAATCAAATTATAGCCTTTTGTCATTTTTGTTAGCATTATGCACATGGCAACATATAGATGTGGATCCCCACATT